GTTAGGATTAAGACAGCTTGGTTAAAATAATTCTGCGTTTTACTTTTTGTTACAATACACCAAATGTATTAAGTCAGAGGCCTCACATGCCCATATCCTAGTCTATTCAGGCTGTGTGATATGTGAGGTGTCTGTGCTCCAGTCGCCTCTAGAACAGGCTACTGTGTGAGCTCAGTAAACAGAGTGGCTGAAATGAGGTGGAATTTGCAACAATGGCGTAGAGGGAGCACAGCTGAGTGAACATCACCCTCTTAGAGCCTCTCCAACACATAAGGCCACTGACTGGAGGCACAATGCTCCCTTTTCACCCTCATCCCCACCGCTTACCACGTGGAGAGAGGTAGTGAAAGAAAGACACAGGCACAGAGTGAGGAGGAAAATCATTTTTCACCCAGGCCCTGTGACACCCCCCCCCCCCCCCCCTGTCTCTCTAAGACTTGGGCAGAATAATAAAATGCATCCAAGGTTTGACATATAGTCTAAATGTTATAGCCGATTACAGTCAAATCGACTAATAATGTATCAAAATTATTCTTTTTTGAAAAGGTCTTCAAGTTCCATTGTTGGACAGTTTACTGTAAAAGCGATTTATTTGTAATATGATAAATTTGACCTCCGGAATTGTGTTTTAATCCGTAGTGGATATATGGACACTTTTTATATGTAAATCGAGCAGTGATTTCCGTGCAGTATAAAATGATTAAAACGAAAATAATTAGCCTATTAACCTATAAACATGCTCGTCATTGTGTAATCGATACTAATGTGTCAAAGAGAAAGAAGTGAGAACTCCAATAGTTGTTATGAAACAGTCAAAAGATAGAATATCGTTGCTTTTTTTAAACCAGAACTCTATTGTGCCAACAACGCATTCGTATTTTTCGTGCCATCTTGCCATTACGACGGTCGGACGTGTTTTTTAGACCAATGTTTGGAACAAGCGCAAAATACGGTGGAGAGATGCGCGTCCCCGCTACTGTACGGCGACCTGTTGCACGCCAGGCGCGCTCCCACATCATAACAAGTTATGATTCATAAAATATTATGACTTCTCGAAAAAATACAGTCCCGGATGTGCATTTCCCCCACAGGCCGCTCGTCGCCGACACAACCGCTTTAAATATAACACAAAAACAACTTACCATGTTTGAAACGATGATTTTTGGCAGCGATATTGTGTAATGACACGGGGGGAAAAGCTCAGGAGCTTAGGTTGGGTAAGATCGGCTCTCGTCTCTCAGCCGGGACACTGGCGCAGCAATTCCCTATTCACACTCAGGGATGCGCAGTCGGACAGCCGCATTTTTTTTCAATTATTTATCTCCGTCGCAAATCGCGTTTCTTTCTCTTTTAACAAAGGGTTATTATGCCTGAATGTATTTACTGATTGTCCTGTGTCGGGAGGAGAAGCAGGGGCGGTGCTGCGGGCTACTCGCTGCACGGGGAGGATTATTTTGTTGGCCGTGCGTGCTGCTCTTCCTCTTTTCTTTGTATTTGTCGGGGCCTGCTGCTGTCAGGCCTGTCTGCGCTCTCTGCGGTACTGTCTGGCTGTCTGTCTGTCTGCTTAGCAGGCTAGCTGTCTGTCTGCCTGTCTCTTATAATTAATGGCCCTCGCCGCCAGACGGTCCTCTGGGAAACAGTGACCACGGTTACCTCCACATTGGCTCTCAGTGTGCATGTCACACAGGCCCGGCCACACAGCTGGGCTCAATCAGGCTGACTGGGAGATTGGTACAGGTGTGCATGATTGTACCCCCGCCCCCCCAGGTTATCATAACAAATCATATTTCATATTTTTCATATTTTAATAAAAAAATCACATTTCGTCTCAGTGAGTTTTTAAATGTTGGATTCCTGGTACTACGTGTTATCCCCATATTTACATTGAGTTCTCATTACAGTCTTTAGTGAGCTATTTTGGAACTTTGAAAGCATACTTTGTTTACAGCCAAAGTCATTTGGAGACAATACCTGTCCACTGGAAATATATAGGTTTTATTAAAGCCAATAATAAGTCTGAATGTTGTTTATAGTCCTAGTCGTAGCATGTGGCTATAGATATGTCGGTTTGTTAAGTCTTTCTGGATCAGCAAGATTGTTTTAGATTTAGTGTAGATTTAAAATGTAGTCTGACTTGTTCTGAGATTGGATTAGATTGGATTAGGATGGAGTGGGACTGACTGTGCAGGGCTGATTTACTTCATTCAAATACATTTGACCTTATGGGGCTGAGTTTAGCTTGATAAATCATCTATTCAGTGCCTCAAGAATGACCTTGACACATGTAATCTCTGACGAATCAAGATGCAAACATTATATTCTAGTCTTTCCGCTTGCATGACAATATATAGTCTTACATAAGGAACAAAGTAAGACTTCTGTCAGGATCAGGTAAAACACACTAGTGCTTCAGACGGTTACATCTCATTAAATGCAAAACAAACCAAAGTCATTATATCATTATACCTAACAACCTCCCCGATGATGACATTTAAAATAGAATAGCACATTTATTTTGATTACTATTATATTTACAATACAATGTGTTGCCTTAACTACCTTGCTGTGGTCTTACATCAGTAAAGCCACTAGGTGTCTCTCAAAGACAACATGTTTTACAATAAACTTGAGTTGCTCATATTTAAATGTGCTATGATCTACCTGATCATTTTTAATAATAATAACATAAACCCCAGGAGTACATACACATTATTTTTGAAACCTTTGCAGCATTATCCGAATGGTATGAGTTTTCCACTTTACTTATTTTTCCTACTTTGTGAAATGGGCCCTGGTTTAAAAATTGGCATCTCTGGTTTGTGAAGTAAGTCAGATATTCAAGCAGTTAAGCATGTGCTATGAGAAACAGATGATTCACACACTTCAAACATCAAGTGTTCTCCTAGAAGAGTAAAGGGCATGTTATAAGGTTTTATCTACCAAAGGGGGAATCAAGAGGGCATGTTTGCTGTGCTTTTTTGGAACATGAAGGCACCAAAGGGTGCATGCAACTTATTTTTGCCCCAGTAGTTATGGATTCACACACATACAACACCAACACGTATTGTAACCATGTACACACAAATAAAGCTCAGTGCATTAAGGCAATATGTTACACCAGATTATTTTCGTTGCTTGTGTAGAGAAGAGTCAGCAAAGTCAGTTAACTGACCCAGTAATGTCAGTAACACAGCTATATCTGAAAGCTATAACATCGGCTTAGATACTGATCATACCGGACATAGAAAGACAGAAGCAGAGTGTCATATATTAAACAAGGTCTACCAGCACCTTTAACACTCACCAATATGTTACATACTTATATGCTATCATGTATGGGAAACAAGTTTATTTTAACATTGAAAGTTGAATTACTTGGTCATGTTACAGTTACATTTTCAGGGAAGTGAAACTAGTGTTCTTGTGTGTGCAGGTGCAGTCATGGTTAACTTAACTCAGTGGTTCTCAAACATTTTCTGTCAGGCCCCCCTTTGGAGAAAAAAAAAGTTGGGCCCCCCCAACACAAATAGTCACGTAATGGGCCAAGTTAACATTTATTAAAAATACATCAATATCACCGTGAGTATTCCTTTCAAAAAAATAAAAAAATCACTTTGTCTGTGTGCTCAAAAAAATAAATACAATTGTGCAATCCCTTTGCTAGAACAATAAGTTATAATACTTTGCCACTTTGCAATCTGTGCAAAAAAATGAAAAGATAGAAAATACTGATATTTGGCAAAAAAGCGTGTCTTATCATAGCATTAGTGGCTGCAATGAGCCTGTTTTGCACTGCACATTTCTTCAAAACGGGGTTGCAGGCTCAGTGGCGGCGCCAGAGATTTTCTTTTGGGGGTGCTGTGGGTAATCTAAACAGTGAGAGAGTTATCTGAGCCTCTCAGTCTGACAGGCGAGAGTTCTCCGTCCACCTTGTTGTTGAAAAAGCTCCTTATATCCGTTAGCGTAGCTAGCTAGCACCAGATGCTAACAACAACAATCTCCGGCCTGTCCGGTACCGGTGCTCTCTCTCTCTCTCTCTCTCTCTCTCTCTCGCGCGCTCGCGCGCGCGCACACGCACGCACACGCACGCACACAAAATGGCTCGTTTCACACACACAGAACCGAGCTTGAATTAAACACAGAGACCCAGACGTACTTGTACTGTACTGTAGCATATTATTTTCGAATCATTCATTTTTCAAATTATGAATTTCATACATACTAATAAAAAATACATACATTTATTGGGGGTGCTTAGGGGGTGCTATGGCTATCCGAGGGGGACCTGCAGCACCCCTTAGCGCCCCCCTGATGCCGCCTATTGACCTTCCATCCTCAAAATGTACATTACACACCTGTGTCCTACAGCGCGCTCATAGGTTTCTAAGGTGTCTAAGTGTTACTTCCGCCAGTCATGCCGACGTCTTTTTTTTTGTTTGTCATAACAATTTTTCCTCCTGGTCTCTGCCCCCCCCCTGTCATGCCCCCCACTTTGAGAAACACTGACTTAACTGATGGTAAAAAAGTGAAGTTTAAGCCATTGACAGTGATATTGACAGTATTTTTCTGATCAACAGAATCGGTGGAAGTGGGAGGATTTTTGTTAAAGTGGCTATGCACGTTACCTATTAAGAAAGAAATACAGATGTGTATGGAATATAAATATAAATGGTCTGCAAAGGCTAAAATCCAAAAGTTCATGTCACAGTAGAGGCACAAAATACAAATATGAAGCTGAAAATGAACATAATAGAGTCCCGTTAAGGTTGATATTGCACACTGAATATAAAGACAAATTAAAAGTCACACTTTATTATCAGAGAGGTTGCTGAACTGTGATGTAACACAGACAGGGAGATGTTTTTTCCACTCACAGTGTCATATGACGTGTTAAGTAGTCACCGTTTCAGTTCCAAAAGATGATGTAAAGTTAACTTCAAAGTTACCTAATAATTTTCCCTTGGCCACCTCCAGGGTCATGTGACCTCTCTGAGTCTGGTGCAAACCACTAAAGCAGACACCGAGGGTGGGTGGATCTTTTGGGATTAGCCTCCTCGGTCAACAACACTGACCACACGCGACACTCACCCTCACCCTCACCGATGGCCACAGTCGGCAAACACCAGGGCACCACCAGGTAAGAAACACCATTTAGTTTGTAAAAAATCACATTAAATTCGGTTCAGACAAGCATATGTGTGTTCGTAGTTAAAGATGTGAAAGCCGAGCATGTGCTGAGAGTAAATCCGGCCAACAATCTCTCAAGGAGGATCTCCTGATCCCCTGTAACTGTGCTTAGTGGAGTTAACGCTCATGTTCATTGTTGCTACCCCTTTATCCTTAATGTGATAACCAGCAAGTCTACATTTTAAACGCCATTAACGCTCACTTAAACCCATTAGGATATGAAGTGTTATTTTTGTCCAACCTCAGAACATTTTCCCAGTAATGGTGGTTTAGTATTCTATTCATAGAGCGCAGTAGGCAAAAGCCCAGGAGACAGGATTACTGTTCAGCGTGCACAGTTGGAGTAAACTTCCCACCAGCTCAACAAGAACTGCGCATTATAATTCACATTCTTACGTATAACAGCAGCAGGTACATTTGTAAATAATGTCTTTCAATTTGTGTGAATAAATCCACAACTTGGTTACATTTTCCGAGCACGTACAATTACTCACAGGAATCCAAATCATTGTGTATCTGGTTTCTGTCTTACAAACTGTATAATGAGTAGCCTTGTGTGACACATACACAGTGATCCGCCCACCATGGCGTCCATGGAGGAAGAGCTGACCTGCTCCGTGTGCCGAGACTGCTTCAGCAAATCCCACCCTCTGCCCTGCGGTCACAGCTTCTGCCCCACCTGCATCCGCGAGGCCTGGAGCGGGCAGGGCGAGGTCAAAGGTCGCTTCAACTGCCCCCAGTGTCAGGAGGAGCAAGGGGAGGTGCTGTGTGACTGCTGCCCTCCAGAGGAAGCGGTGGAAGGAAAGCCACCATTGGCCGTCAAGACCTGCCTGAGGTGTGAAGTGTCGCTGTGTGCCCTACACCTCCAACCCCATCTGGAGAGGCCGGCGTTCAGCACCCACCTGCTGGTGGATCCGCTGGGGGACCTCTCCCAGCGAAAGTGCCAGACCCACGAAGAGATACTGAGATACTACTGCGCCGATGACAGGGAGTACGTATGTGGAGACTGTCTGCTGGACGGAAGTCACGCTCAGCACAAAGTGAAGGCGCTGAGACAGGTGGAAGAGGATCTGAAGGTCAGCTGGAAGAAAATGTGTTTGTTTTTTAAAAATGTTCAGTGCACAGTTCATGCATTGGCTCATATAAGTGTGATTCCCCAGGTCATTCTCCAAACTCTGCTAGACAAAGCAGAGGAGAAGATGAAAGATGGAGAGCGAATCCTCAAAGAGCATGAGTGTATTGATTCAACCATGGCAGTGAGTTGGAATTTTTTCAAATGCATTAGATATTTTTGATTATATTTAATCGCTGATCTTGCACCAATCTCTCCCGACTGATTTCAGGACTCCCTGATGGATGACATCTCCCAGGTGGAGCGGCTGGGCTCAGACCTGCAGATCCAGGTGACCCAGCTGGTAGGCGCTCTGAGGGAGATCACCAAGAGGGAGAGGCAGCAGGTGATAGAGCGAGTGCATGAAGACTGCTCCAAGGTGAGAGACGGCATGAGCCAGGCGCTGAGCATCCAGTACTACTTGGCCTCGCTGCTGTCAGAGACTGACCCCTTCCTGCTCATCTGGGTGAGGACTGACACACTGATGTACACACTTGATCTGTTGACATACAAATGCATGTATTCTGATGTATTATATTATAAGTAGGGTAGCCACTGTGGATAATGATGATACAGTGTTGTCAGTCATGCAGAAAAACCTAAAACAATTTAGCTTCTGATGTGCTCAACCAAGCTCAATCAGTTGTCCTTTAGCTAACCGTTAGCAATGCAAGTGGCATGGCTCAAGGGCTCTTTCAAAACATGTCTTTGGTTCTTATCTCTCAAAACACATGTATGCTCAAGGATGGAGAATCTGTAGGGAACAGGACAAGATTGTGGTAACCAAAGTTTTCACATTTATGGCAATTAAGTTTGAGCTGGTTTTGTCTAAATAGACACAACTTGTTGGTGTATCCTATGTTTACCTAGCATATCTTAACTCAGATGGTGAAAACTGAATGGAGGACACTTTTGATAAAGTATTAACATTGCTGAATAACTGACTGAATGTGCCATGGTTTCAAATGTGTTAATGGTAAATGGACAGCATTTAGAAGCGTAGCGCCTTTCTTGCTTGTGCAACTATTCAAAGGGATTTACAACAACACATGTCAGCATTTAAACACATTTATACAGACGCAGATATTAGGCTCAGGGGATTGAACCACAGCCGCTGTCCACATGTTGCTAAATCCTGATTACAGTTTTATTTAATGACACAATGTTTAGGCCCAAACCAGTGGAAAGAGAACAGACAAAAATGCACTAAACTAATACAAGAAATAACCAAAATGGTTCTAAATTTGACAGTTATGGAGACATTTTATCTTCAAGGCTGGGACCCCTGGTAGACTTTAGCCTATGTTTAAAACTTTGCCTAAGTCACCCCCCCCCCTAGATTTTTGGAAGTCGTCCTGCCTAATTAAAGCAAAAAGATGTTCAGGGCCTTTAAGCTGTTATTTATTTTAGCACAAAGCCAATTCATCTTTAAAAAAAGAGACAAAAACACACAGAAGATGCTGTCATCAAAACGTTTTAGCTTATCAAGAATCTGAGCTATGCAGCAGAGCCGTTCAAACATCATGATTTATGTTGCATGAGCTTATACATCTTGGGAAAAAATGGCACATATACATTCCCACAGATGTGTTTAGTTATATGTTTGTGTGAAGCTTCCTCTTTGTGTTTGTTTGTTTGCTTTCTTATCCTGCTGGGCTGGACTGTAAGGGATGTTTGCAATTTCTTTTGTAAATGAACTCTTTTCTGTCATGTTTTTCTCGGCTGTCCTTGACTCTTTCCTAGGCCTTTCAATCGGACGACACAAAGTAAGTCCAGAACAAAACCGTGTCATTATTTGTGTTGATGCAGTCTTTGTCTGTTAGAATCACTAGATGTAACGATTACACTATACATGCCTTTTATCTTTAAAAATATATATATTTTGTTGCTCATCAACAAGATAGTCCCTCTCCTGCAGCATGTGTTGTTGTCTTATATCCTAGGTTACTAGCAGACCTGGACAGCCCAGTTTATGTCCCTGATGCCGTCAGTCTGGACAGGAAACACATCTTGGAGGACATAGAGAGCAAGTATCGAGATTTCATCACCGGCACCCTCCGCTGCCTCAGTGAACTCAAGAGGGAGCTCTGTGAGTGCAGATGGGTGACATACCTAATTTATTTAAATCTAAAATAATACGGTGATACAGTAAAAATAAGCTAGTTTCTATATTAAAATTCTTACAACAAGTTCTCTGGATTATATTAAATTAACAGGTCCTTTTTGGGAAAAGACATTGCGGTGCTGGTTTTTAAATGCAGTAGTGTGGACCATCACCTACAATGTGTTGGAGCTGTGGCCGATAGAAGCACAAGTGTACCATAGTGATGTCATTAAGTTACAGAAGTAAAAAAAGGAGTCCAATGGAGGTGTTTCAGGATGGGGTGGAATGTGTGGAAAAGAAAGGGGACTTGGAATTGTAGCCTTTTGCAGACCATTTTCAAGCTAAACAACGTATATGACACTACAGGAAAGGGAAAACCCCAACAAGTTTAAAAAGGCCTCTTGAATATCTTTGGAAAATTGTTTTTATTACTTTTTTACCAAGAGCTAGATTTGAAGATTTGTCCTCATATTTATTTATTAAAAAAACGTACAGCCTTTAGAGTAGCCGAGCATGACGGCTGCCTCTAACTCTCTCCTTGCTTTGCTTCGTATGTTATTCTTCTCTCATACAGTGACCAGTCGTTTGACTCTGGACACTTACACAGCCCATCCTCTGTTGAGCATCTCTGATGACCTTCGCTCTGTGACGCGGGTACGAAACCGCCAACCCCACCCTGCTCACCTCGAACGTTTCGACCACTGGCCGCAGGTCCTCACCGCCCAGACCATCGCCTCTGGGACTCACTACTGGGAGCTGGAAGCTGAGGGATTCTGGGACATTGGCGTCAGCTATAGAAGTATTCGGCGGAAAGGCAAAGACGGTAACGCCTTTGGGAACAATAAGGTACATATGCTAAGGGTGTTTGTTCAATTTAGAGCATTTAGCCATTCATATTTGATATATGTCACATCATAATTTCAGTGTTGAAGGTTTGGTCTATAAAATATGATCGGAAATGGCTCTGGCTGATGGTAGGGTAGTTGTCTACCATTTGGTAGGTCAGTGCTTCCATTCCCAGCCCCCACAACCATTGTGTTAATGTATCCTTGACTTATGTAAAGTTCTTTAAGGGGTTGCAAAGAGTAGAAATCGCTATATAAATGCAGTCCATTCACCATTTATAATACAGAAATTCCAATAGAAATCTCCCAGTGTACAATTCAAATTGCTTGTGTTCTCTGACAAACAGTCTTACACATAAAGGTACGTTCACAGAAAACAGAGAAGATCTTTAGTCTTTACTAATAGATTCAGATTCAGATTACTTTAGTATCCATTACATTTGGATAAAATGGAAATGTGTCTTTAGCTCCGGCACATAAGACAACATACAGCACATCATACAATTAACACACATCATCACAATCATGCATCTTAAATTCAAGGTGACTTTCTGTTGAATCAAACCCTAAACATTGTTGGTACTTGATTTTCTGAAAACAATCCATTGTTTCAGCTGTAGTTTTAACCAAAAGGACATATTCCTGGATTTAAAAGGTGGTTGTTAAACGTCTAGGTGTCATGGAGTTTGACGCAGCAGCACGACAGGAAGTTGGCTGCTTGGCACAATCACAGGAAGACCCGCCTTACGTACCAAATGACGGGCAACCGTGTTTCCGTCACCGTGGACTACGGAGCGGGCACCATCACCTTCTCCGAGGTGAAATCATCCAACCACCTGACCCACCTCCACACGTTTTCCACCACGTTCACTGAGCCCGTGTGCTTGGGCTTTGGACTCTACAAAGCTGAGCTCAACAGTCACATCACCATCCTCAAAGTCTGAGGCGGAAAAAAAAACAAAGGGGGACGGAGAAAACACGCTGACTGGTACCATGCTGGTTTAACTTAGACAAAGCCATGCCAAGACAAAGCGCTGCTGATTTATTTCTGGAAGCTAACTGGAACTTTGAGCCTCTCTAATTTTTCTCTCCCCTTACATCTCAGCCTGTGCCCATCTTTACAAAGAACAGAACCATATTTCCTAGATCAGGTGATATTGATATTGAAATATCAGAGATATTTGAGAATGGAACATTCAATGCATCGTAACAGGAAAGCAACTGAAGAGGCTCCTTTGAAAAGACTCTAATAGGTTTTGGAAACCAAATTGCAAGATTGTTGTGTGCTTTTCATTCTACAGCGATCAAAACTGCAGATGACTGGTCTGGTTGGATTGGTTTAGATATAACAACTGTATGAAGAAGGTTGTAAGATGTTTTGAAATGCTTTCCATCCATTCTTAAGCATCTTCCTCAGTTCTGACTGAAAGCTCCTTTTATAAAATAACAAATGACACAAATATTTTCAGCTATTACATGTCTGTATGTAAAAGAAACGAATATCCTCACAGAGAAATGTATGCTATGTTCCATTAACCCAGTCTCATAATACATGCTCCCTAGCTGCATGAAGCATAGGAGGTGTAAAGATTTTCCACTCCACAGGTGAAAGAAAGAGCATTTAAACCCTTCCAACTCTAATTGAAAAACAGGAAGGAATCAATTATTTGAAAAAGAAAAAGAAAAACAACTGCCACTGACTCGCAAAGTTGGCTATTTGAAGCAGCTCACCTCCCCAATTATTTTGCAATTTTTCTTTATTTCACTGTAAAGGTGAGTGGGTGGATGTAACATAGAGGAGGGTGAGAAAGAAGCAGAATGAAAGGGGGGGGTTGGCTGAGAGAAAGACAAGGATAGAGAGATAGAGAGAGGGAACAGAGCATACTGTGGCTTGGTTACGATCACACTGACTGCCGTGCTGAGAGATAATATGTTAGAGGAGCCAGAGAACGTGGATTTTTTGACCATATAACAACTGTTTTTCACCTGGTGTGGAATACAAGAATATTCGGAAGGAAACAGGTGATCATCTATTTTCTATTCACTTAGGGATAGTACTATAAAGAAATATCCGGGTCATTTTAGAACACTTGTTTTAAGTTGAATAGTTTATAATATTGCAATAATATGAATCTTATCAGTCCAGAAAACTGTATATATTTGTGTGCGATGACAACAATTTCATTAAAGCTATGAAGGAGATGTTTTCACACGTCTTAGTCAACGATAAATGATTTAAAAATGTACTGTTTTAAACTTATCCTGTATAAAATGTCACATTTCTACGAGTTAATCAACAGTGCCATTTTTTTTTAATGTATAGCTCCTATATTTGTGTCTGTAAGTGTGAAACAAAAGCAAAAGCGAGAACAAGAGTATGTATGTTGTGTGAGGGAATTTGTGTTGAGCAGCGTCGGATGGAGGAGGGGGGGGGGATACGTGTAAAAGACAGATGGTCACTCAGTGGAGTTGTTCCCCCACACCCTCTCTATTTCGCACTCCCTTCTGGGTCCTACATCCTTTGCTTGTCACCTCTCCAAAATCTTACCTCATCTGTTTTTTTTTCTCACCTCTCATCATCAGCATCTTTCAATCCCCCACCATCCTTCACCCCCTCTCCATCTCCATCAGTTCAAGTCTGAACTTGGATCTTTTCTCACTTTGCAAACCTTTTTTCCTTTTTCTCAGCTACATATCTTCTGCCTTCTTGTCAGGTTTTCTTTTTGCCAAAGAAATCAACTTGAAAATACCGATTCAAGAATTTTGTTGTGATTGTCATTCTGGCCCCTGCTGACACAGCACGTAGGACACTGAACACAATTGGGATTTCTGGTGGGCAAACAAGTAAACTCAGAAGACAAGACAGAAAGGGAGTGATTGACGGCTATGGCCAGGGAGGAATTCTAAATATTTTTCCTGAATATAATTTGCTTGTGAGACACATCCGCTGCTTCTACTGCTGCGTAGGTGCATGTTAATGTACTTCAGACAAAATTACATAAGAGGTTAAACTTTGGAACATTTTACCACACACTTTTTCTTTCACTGTAGCATGTTTGTTTTCATTCCAAGTTGTGTTTGACACATCCCTACAGTAGAATCAATTAGAGATATTGGAGTAAACACGCCAGGTTCAGTCATGCACAGCAGGTCGGTCACCTTTGACCTCTCCATGCTGTTGGGGGTGTTGCTGTTGTGGGGGCCGAAGGAGTCCAGGGGTCAGAATGACACAGAGCCCATCATCCTGGAGGGGAAGTGCCTGGTGGTATGCGACTCCACTCCTTCATCCGAGCCCTCCGGGAACGCCCTGGGCATGTCGGTGCGCTCCGGCTCCGGGAGGGTGGCCTTCTCAGCCAGCCGCCAGACCAACCACGAGCCCACAGACATGAGCAACCGCACCATGATTATCTACTTTGATAATGTGAGTATTTTGTATTTAGATAACAGGATGCTTGTTATTTTCCAGGTCAAATAAAGCCCATTGACGATGAGAGGACAAATTACCCAGAGGTGTGGAATCAAGTCACATGACGTAGATTCAAGTCAGATTCAAGCCACAAATCGACAAAATCAAAACAGACCTGCAACTCAACTTTGAATAAGAAATGTATGAATGACTTGTGTTTAAACTTGGAATTGATACTTTCCCCAAGTCCAAAGATTTAAAAAATCCCTAACCAACAAATCAATTGCCCTTGTTTAGGGACAACATTCTCAATGAATTTAGTTGCTCAGAGGCTTAGACTGGGCTCTTCACTGTGACCCTTTTCAAATAGAAGTTTGTACTAAGTTAAAGTAAAAAAATTCAACAAACAACAACTAAAGTGGGACCATACAGTGGAGAGTAATTGTCTGAACCTAGTTTTCCCTCTGTCTTTCAACAGATCCCAACATACAACAGGTGCGTTAAATACAATCAACCATGAGACAAATGCCGGAAGTGATAACCAATTACAAATAAACATGGTGTAAATAAATAATGATAAATGAAATAATAAACACAAGCTAAATAAGCATTTTTGCTCCAATGTTAAAGCTATTTACTCTCAGTAAATCAACACTAAATTCTCTAAATCCTCTTCTTCAAACCAATCCGACAGCATTCAATCAAGTTGCAGTAGTTCACAAAGAAGTAATGTAACGTTACTGAGTGACAGTTGGAAATAAATAAACAAAAGACAATTTCATTTGCATTCAAAAAATATGTGGTAGCCAAAAAACAAATTAGAGTTTTCCAAACGTGCATCATGACTCAAAACACAAAAGGGATGTTTGACAGAGTGGAAAGACCTACTTGTGACTTGCAAAACAATTACTTGGTCATCTGCTAAGTACTTGGAAAATGTTTTAATGTGTAGTTTTGGAGAAAAAAAGCAAGATAATTACAATGCCATGTTAAAAATAAGTTAGAGGTAAACAACAAACGTTCAGACTCACAGTGCAGACCTGCCAGCATTTTCATGTAAATGTTGAGCTTTGCTGTTGCGATGGAATTGTAGGGAAAAAAATGACTCAGTATCTGGGTGTGGCCTGACATCTAACTGCGTGGAAGAACATAATGACACAAGTGCCGTGCCCCTTTTTCCACCCTCCCTTGCTGTTGCATCAGATTTTGGTGAACGTGGGCAATCATTTTGACCAGGAGAGCAGTGTGTTCCTGGCGCCAAGAAGGGGCGTGTACAGCTTCAACTTCCATGTTGTAAAGGCCTACAATAGACAAACTATTCAGGTAGAAACCTCAACTATGATGATTTTTGTTTTATTGCATTGAACCAACATGCACTCCATAATCCCTTCGTTTTCTCTCTCTTAGGTCAGCTTGATGTTGAACGGCTGGCCTATGATTTCAGCGTTCGCTGGTGACCAGGATGTGACCAGAGAAGCCGCCACTAACGCCGGCCTGGTGATAATGGAGAAGGGGGACAAGGTTTATCTCAGATTGGAGAGGGGAAACCTGATGGGAGGCTGGAAGTACTCCACTTTCTCCGGGTTTCTGGTGTTCCCCCTGTGAGAAAGGTGATGGAAAGGGAATTGGAGGTCACAGTTGTGAGAAAGAAGCAGAAAGAAAAAAAAATGGATTGAAGAAATGGAAGGCTTCAATGTGAAACTCTCGGAAAGATGTGTTTTATGCAAAAACAATTGCATTGTTTCTGTGTATACATATTTGTTCGGTTATAAGAGATTCAATTATAAAATAGCCAACGCGCAAAGTGGGCTTCTCTAATTAAATTTTATTTTATAAGTGTTTGCAACATTGCTGTGCTCCACATGGCATACTGTCTAGCTTAGAAATGTGCCCTTTGCTATGTTGTGTTTTATGACTGATGCTCCTCTATATGCCTGTTAGTCTCCTGCAAAATGTCCATTTATATTTCATTTAAAGAGAACATATTGAAATAAAATCCTATAATATTGGCTCAGTATGTTGCTTTTATGTGGTGCATTGTCAGAAATTGCTATCCACACATTTTTTGCCAGAGTCAACGAAACATTTGTAGACGAACACAAAGAAATAACTGATTTACTAATTGTGTGTCAGTATTCCTCCTTCCTCTCATGGTACTCTACCCACTGTGTGCCACGGCAGCTGTTTGTAAATATAGCTCCCACCAGCAGAGTCAGCGTTGGCGTGGATGGAGCAGACCCGCATGGGGCAGAGTGTGAGTGTGGAGGATAGCGGATACTCCTCGCAGTGCCGCAGACAGATGGAGGCCTTGGCGATCCGGCAGGCTCTTCTCTCAGGGCTGCCATGGATAAAGTGTGGTGGGCTGTCACATTAAGTCACTTATGCTTCCCTGGTTCATGACCATCTCTGCCTGTTGGCCCTATTGCAGAATCAAACTTGACCTTAGAATGCTGAAATATTAGGCCTCTTGCTATCGTTTACATTTTTTTGTGGTATGATATATCATAGCCTATTTCATTGTAAACTGAGAAGGACAGCAATGTTAAGTATCATTTAAAATTAACTAAATGCCAGATTTTCAACGGCGCAAAACTGATGACTTGCTCGGATGCCCCAGACCGAGAAGGACCTGCTGCTTGTTTTTTGGTAATATAATGAATTGTTATTAATGCTACACCTCAAATATTTTAACTTAATCAGGTATTTAACTGCTAGTTAACACAACAATATATGGCAGCCACTCAATGAATTAAGGCGTGTAGACATGGTGAAGGCCATTTGCTAGTTCAAACAAAGCATCGGAATTGGTAAAAAAAAGTTGATTTAAAAGACTTTAAATTATGCATAGCGATTGGTGCCACAAAGACTTGTTTGAGTATTTCAGAAACTGCTGATGTAGGCCTATACTGGAATTTATACGCATAGCTGGCTGAAGTTTTCAGAAGAATGTTTGAAGAGCAAATATCCAGTCATTGGCAGTTCTCTGGAATGGCCTTGTTGATGTTAGACGACAACAGCTTCAGCTTCATTTAAATGCCACCTCGGCATTGTTGAGGACCATGCAGCTCCCTTTATAACCACACTGTAACTATCTTCTAATGGCTACTTCCAGCAGTAAAACATACAATTCAATTCTGAAGGCAAAAGGGGTTAGGTAATAAAGACACTGGTGTACAAATCAATATCCTCATGAGAGCCTTCATGTGTGGGCCTGATTTTCAAGGCCTGTCATTAAGCAAGGTGCCAATTTATAATTTTGAGAGTTTAATTATTAGGCTACTTGTGATTTTGTAGCCTACTTAGCCTACATGGGGCGTATGCTTCAGATTAAATAAACATGATGTGCCTGTGCCCATGCATAACCCACAAAAGGAAGAAAGGAGCGGGCTGGGTGGTTAATAGAGTCTTCCCATGTGCCTCCAACGATAATCTGACGACCATTCTTTATAGAGCCTGAAATCATGTTTCAGCCTGTAACACTTGAGGGCGCCAAAACCTTGATCATACAGACCTGAATCAATGATGGAGGCTTACCAATCATCCCATTGGTACCTAGCAGAAAGCTATTATTGATACCTCAACATTTTATTATAAAGAAAAAAATCCGCCAAGGTGCCCACAAGGTCTGGAAGTATATTTTTTCATAAAGTACTAGGGTTATATCCCGCCATTAGGATAATTCCTGAGCTGAAGCAAATGTCATAAAACCATCAGAAAAAAAACAACAGTGTCATTCAGAAACAGGCCTACTGTGTTGTACAGTTCAGTAACCATTTAATGTGATTAAAACACCGTGTATTTCTCTTCAGTCAGCTCTAAATGTTTAACGCTTTCTAACGTGAGCACCCACAGCAGTAAAACACCAACATTGAAGATCACTTAGCCAATGATCCCAGCTAGGCCGCATTTATTGTTGTCTCATCCTAACTATGGCTCTCATCCCGCCCAAAAGTGGCCGCGCTGATGACGGATGGCCACTGAATCCAATGAAATAGCTGTATGCTGCCGGCTCGGGAGAACACAGACCAATCAGCTCCTGGAACCGTACGAGGGGCACGCATTCTACGCTTTCTCTGGCAAGAATGTTAGTTCCTGCTCTTCCCTGGCCGTTTCCTGTAATCGTACAGTGTTGTGAGACGGAGAAAGCCATGTGTGTCGATGCAAAGGTAAATTTAGCACCCCGAAATTATTACTGTGAGAGTTGGGGCAGTGGATATAATGGTTATTGTCATGTATTTGTGCCGAAAAATAGACGCAGACCAACCGAAACAGTATTGCGGCCTAACCCGTGTCTGAACGTTGACGGGCAATGGTTATTGTGGCACGTTGCTTTGGTTTGGTCCGGTTTGTTGATGAGATTGAAGGAGTCCGGTAGACTGAATGGTTGGTAGTAAATGACAGAGAAGCAAGGCGATGGAACCAAACATACAATATATCATGTTTATAACCCTGGAAACGTTTCGGTGCCACGCACGCTTTTGTAATAGCCACATCTTGGTCGTGGTACAAGCTAATGCTAACCGACAGGGTTTGTGAGAAAGGCTGCAATCCGACCAGAGGAAAGCATCCTGCCGCTCTAGCATCAGTACCCTCCTCTTCTCACCTCACTTCCAACTATTTTCATTCACAGAATATCCCCTACATTGTGTAGCCTTCTATATTAACATTAAAACTGCCTGAACATGTTTTAGTAAGCCTCTTATATCCCATTGATAGCGTTTTCTGAACAAGTTGATCATGAGTTTGGTGTTATTTTCAAAAACATTTGAGTGAGGCATTTGTTTTTTAGGCGTTATGTCATCCAAAATAAGTTTTTCTTCCGAATTGTTGGATACAAAAGTGGTATGTGTGAGGCATTTAATATACAGTAAACTTGCAAGTCCGTTCTTATAAAAGTTGTCTTATTTATTGTACAATACATTCGTCCTGTGCATTCAAAACTTAAATGATTGCTGTTGATTATCAACAAAAAAATGATCACGTTGTAGCTGAAAATGACACAAGAATCAGAAGTTAAAGGATTGTATTTTTTCAACTAAGGCCTAATTTTCAATGTCTCCGTCGTCTCCTTGTTATCTTTGTTTACTTTAACACGCATGTTCTAAGTATCCATTGAATGAGTCCCACCAAACGTATATTGTTCTATGCAGGTTTGAGTTGTATGATCATAATTCCTTTAACAAATGTCAACGTTATTTATTCGTGCTGCAGTAACGAGCGTTTCTCCTCTTTTCCCAGCTTTTTACCTAAAAGTTGAGAAGAACTGGACTGCGACTATTGATCTTCCTTCTTCGGAGTCTTTTCCCGCTCCACCCGTCTCCCTGTGTGGAGAGGGCAACATGGCAGACCCCATCATGGACCTCTTTGAGGACACCCCTCTGTTTAACCTTGATGCCCTGCCGGACGGTTCATTCACTCAGGGCTCCTCGGACCCCGTAGAGGAGGCTCTTAAGCTGGCTTTGGGCCAAGTGGACCCACCAACCGAGGCTGATCTCATGGACAACACGGGCCTCTGTGTTTCTGTAGCAGCTCCTTCCAACCTGGACCCCGCCCCCGTTCAAGTCCTCACACAGCAGCCGGTGGCGACTGCTCAGACTATTTCCATATCTGCAGCTCCCACTGTAGTCCCTGCTCCTGCCGTGGTAGAAACTGTACCTCAGATCCAGACCCAGACCACCATACCCATTGTCAGCAGCACCAACGTGGCCACCAGTAGCACGGTCCTGCTGCGCTCACCTCTGACCAGCTCCCCGGTCATCACCACCACTGCCAACACGCAGCAGCTCACGCAGATAACTCACCAGCTCACTCCGCAGCAGTTAGCTGCCATCACACAGCAGGCCGGCGGTAAAATTGTCATTCTCAAAGGGCCACAGGGTCAAGCCCAGGTGCTGCAGACTGTTTCAGGAGCCACAGGGCAGACCACTGGAAAGGTCATCCGTGTGTTGTCCGGCACTCAATTTAAACCTGGCATGAACATACTGCAGGGCGGGACAGTTTTGAATCAGGCGGGCCAGGGACAGGCTCAAGTCAAGGTGGGCACTGCGGGGGTGCAGAGGCTGCTGCAGTCTCCTAACGGGCCAGTGAAACAGATGGTGCTGACCACCATGCCCCAGCAGACGCAGGGCCAGACAGTCCAAGTAAACTCCCAAGGCCAGGTGCAGCTGCAGCCAGCCATGCAGGCCCAAATGCAGGTAAGCACCACCTCTCCTTCTCATGCTGACCACAGCAGGCGACTCTTGGATTTGTAGGCCAGTTTTTCCCCCTGATTCTCATCCTGTGTATCTGTTTCTAGGGTGGCGAACAGAAGAGGATCACCCTGGTTCTCCAGCAGCCATCCCAGGGAATGGGAGCGGGTCAAGGCCAGCAGCAGATCACACAGGTCCAGCAGGGGGGGACTAGACTGGTGCTGGGGCAGCTCCCCGGGGGCAAACTGGTGCTTCAGGGAAGCCAGCTAGCGGCCCTGACCCAGGCCCGGGCTGCAGGCCAGGCTGGAGGCCAGCCCAAAGTCCTCACCATTCAGCTGCAGGTGCAGCAGCAGCCCAACCAGCAAGGAGGAATTAAGGTGAGGAAGAAGTGTGAGATAATTTGGAAGTACCTGCTTGTGTAATCAAATGAGTGTTTTCATACAATATTTTTGTTGTTGTTGTTTTTTGTTCCCTTGTTGATAATACTAATAATACATGAGACTTGTATAGCGCTTTTCCAGAAACTCAAAGACGCTTTGACGGAGAATAAAAAAACAACAAAAAACAAAGACAAAAAATACAAAAAGAGATAAACAAAAACAGAAGTTTTTGAGTGATGTTTTGAATGCGGTGATATCAGAATACTCAGAGCTCTGATACTGTCTTTTACAACCGTGTGAAGAGCTGTCTTCATGCAAGCTGCAAGTTATTTTCCATTGATGCAATTTTTAAAGGGGGTGTTGAAAGTCTTCTATCCAGCCAGAGAAAATATATATATAATTGAAGATATGTTTTTGGCCACTCGTGCCTTTTTTGGAGAGATGTGGAGAAAGAGGGGGAACACACCCGTAAATGGACCACGGGTGTGTTCCCCTCTTTGAAAAAACTGGAGATAAAGACAAAAACGTTAGGAAGTTTCTGACATGTTCAGGTAAAACATCTGGAATGTGACTCTTTCTAACCTTAGTGTCAAATTGATGCTATGTGTAGCCCATCTTAGCACAAAGTATAGAAGTCAAAAAAACCTGTTGGAATAGGCACTACTTAATAACTTTCCAGCCTCAACTAATACTGCTTCTAGAAAGATGAAATTGAAACCACTAAGCAGACATACAGGCAGATTTCCCAAATATGTTTTTTACAATCTTGCCAAATGTTCTGGATATTTACTTTATCTGTATCTTATGATAGATGTATCTATCTACTTGTGACATCTAACTTGACATAGGCTTTTTAAAAAAAAGTTTTTCAAATGGGTCTGTGTCTTGACACCTCTCTTCTTTCTCTCCCACAGTACCAGCTGGTCTCAGGAACGGGAACTCCCGGCGGCCCACAGGTGCTGCAGATCACGCAGGGCCAAGGAGGACAGAGAGTTGCAGTGCCGCTCAAAATGCTTCTGCAGCCACAGGTAGACCTTAACATGTGCATAGGCCTCTCTGTATTTCACAAACGTATACACTATTATAAAGAGGGGGGGCTTAAGGATTAATTTGTGGCGTATAGTGGTTCATTTTATTTTATTTCATCAAGAAGTCTCATTCGGATTAAGATCTCTTTTGCGAGAGAGACCTGACGTCTGAACAGAAACCACACAATAACAAGGAATTTAACATGTTTACAAATAGGGCTGCACAATTAATCTACATTTTAAAACCTCTTAGGAAATCAAACCATGATCATTTATATTTTTTAATGATGAGGTGAATAATTCATTTCAAATGTGATCCGTCCCCTAAATATCGCAAATCTTAACGCAGTCCCAATAACAGTCAACATAATGGCATTAACTGTTCTTTCCAAATCATGCTGCCATTTTAACCTAAGCCCAAAAAGTCATGAAAAAAGTTCCGCCCTCTAAAATATTCTCTTTCACACAGACAAGCGCGACAACCTCGCTCGGCGGCACCGTCTCCGTGGTGAAGGTCATCAACACGTCGGCAGCAGGCCCCTCCAACACGACCACCACGCCGTCCCAGGCCATCCGCATCACAAAGGCTCCTGGAGAGCCGACCTCTGTGCGGCGAGTGGAGATCCTGTGCAAGCAGGAGAAAGCAAACCGCATCGTGGCTGAAGCTATAGCCCGGGCGAAGGCGCGCGGCGAGAAGAACCTGCCCAGAGTCCTGAACCAGGACGAGCTCCCGGCCACGCAGACCTCCCCAGAGTTGGGGGGCACCGTCACCGTGGTGTCTACTGCAAAGAAAAAGAGTGGCGGAGGAGGTAGCAAAAAGAAAAGTCCTGTAGCTGGAGGAGCAACGCCCAAAAGCTCAGGAGGGGACAAAAAGGGCAAAGCGAAGACGCCAGGAGGAGCAACAGGAGCGCCTGGAGGCACAGTGATACCTGGGTCTGGGAACAAGAGCAAAAGCAAGACTAAGACAAAGTAAGTGATATGTTTGTGAGGGAGAGAATAACATGGATGCAAGTTATGTGTTTGGAAAGGAAGACACTGTTAGTTACTTTTCGCTGCTTAATTTGATCTTTGCTCTTCCCTGCCACCTTTCCCTTCCCGCAGCACTATTACTCTAGTGGGAGCAAAGAAAAGGAAGAGGACTGGATCCTCAGACCACTCTGATGGGGAGTTGAGTCCTGCCTCACCTACTACGCTGGATGATGACCTCATTACGGTACAAACTCATACAAAGCCACATGGCAAAAAGGGAGATTAGGGATGATATTATCAACTTTTCTAGCTGGAAGCAGTGTTCATTTTGCAACCGTTTTAGTCTAGATCTTATTATTATAATTATTATATGTTAGAAATGTTTAATACTGGTCTCAAGCATTTATAATCAACTGAATGCTAATTTGCATAATCTTCTGTCAATTAGCACAAAATGCATTTCCTTCAGAAAATGCGTGCGAATGCTGTAAACTGAACATTTGTGGCTGAATTTAGCTGAAAAAGTTGAATATGTTATTAGCTGCTTTTAGTAAGTGTGTTGCTGAACTTAGCGGAGAAATGCAGAAAAGTGAAATGATTTGAATCAAAATTGTTCCAGCTCAAATGCACTGCAATGACTTTTTTGAAAACTTGAAAGTGAAATGTTAAACTGGAAGAGTAGGAAAAATAGTGAAGAAGCTTAATATTTAAAATAAAAGGTTTAAAAAAATGTCCTGAAATAGCTGAATAATGTAATGGTTGAATGGTTTATAGCTGAAAGTAGGCTGAAGGAGTTAAGTATCAGATGTAAGTCGTGAATTAATGTGTATTAAGATGAGAAAAGAAAGTAAAAAGGCTCGGGAAAGCAGCAGAATATTTTGACTGCAAACTTTTCGACTAAAACCATAGGTCACCAATAATGTATAAAATATGTGGAACATGTTGAAGTTAGGGCTGGGCGATATATCGAGTTTACACGATACATCGTGGATTGCACTCCATGCGATGTCGTAAATGACCACATCGTGAACATCGAGTATTATGTTGTCAAATCAATTTCCCGCCGCGGCCAAAATGAGCTTTCCTTTCTCCCTCATAGACACAGTCACACACGCAGGCACACACGCAGGCCCCGTCTAACTTGCACACAAACATTACACACATGCACAGTGAAAGAGAGCAGGGCTCGACATTATAAATGGCCCGCTGGCTCGGAAGCACTATTTAGACACCCCGGGCCAGCATAACGTACTTTCCACTTGCCCNTATATCGCGATATAGTCAGTAAATATCGCGATATCATTTAGAGACCATATCGCCCAGCCCTAGTTGAAGTCAGTATGAAGTCTCCATCAGACAGAAAAGAATAGGCTGAGACAGTCTGTTAAAGTCCAGTGTGTTTGTCAGNGAGAAAAGAAAGTAAAAAGGCTCGGGAAAGCAGCAGAATATTTTGACTGCAAACTTTTCGACTAAAACCATAGGTCACCAATAATGTATAAAATATGTGGAACATGTTGAAGTCAGTATGAAGTCTCCATCAGACAGAAAAGAATAGGCTGAGACAGTCTGTTAAAGTCCAGTGTGTTTGTCAGAGCATCAGGGAACCCCAATGAACTGATATATGTTTGTTCTTTTGTTTTTGTGTGTAAAATGTGGAGATGGGAGCAGTTTGTTTAAAGTTCACTTCTCTCTGTTCTGAAGAAAGATCCGGAAATTGTTTACATGGGAGTCTATTGGGAAGTCTATAAGTTTTTGTCTCTTCATGCCCTCAAGAGGCATTTTGTTTAATATTTTTTCTTAATTCTTTTTTATTTTCCAACCTAGGAGAGGTTTTCCTAAGCTTTTCATGAAAAATGATGTCTGGGGAGTGTAGGGTTTGGGAATTATCAAATCAAATCAAGTTTTATTTATATAGCACATTTATAAACGATTTTTGGTCGAGCCAAAGTTCTGTACATATAATACAAATAGCCTACAGTAGAGACACTTTACAGCTAATACAAGAGCACAGATTGTTCAGAATATCAGTATGGCAATTATGGCAGGTTTAAAAAAAAAAATGTGGGCGAATTTCAAGCTGTCCTCCACTCTGTTTTGAGATCAAAGCACTCTAGACTTAACGAGCTGCCCAATACACACTAATGTTAAAATCTGAAGAAAGCCTCTTTACCAAGCTCCAAACTAAGTTAAATATCTCAAAAAGTGTAAAAGATATGAAAAATGTGATCATTTTAAAGTTGGAATGAAGTGTCTAGCTGAAAGTATGTGGAAGGAGAAGCATTTGGCGCAAGGTGTAGGTAAAAGAGGATTTGAAGGTTCCTCCCATTGAATTCCATGTTTAAAAAAAAGAGTTTAAAAAGCTGAATATTTCAAAAAGTATGAAATATTTTGAAAAAGTTCAATGTTTCCCATCGATTGCTGAAAAGGCTGAATAGTTTGATATTTGAATGGTTTCTGTAGCTGAAAGTATGCTGAAGTTATTGAGAGCCAAAGTATTGGTTGATTTGAAGATTCAAAGAACTATAGTGGAATGATGTGGCACAGCATTCGCACTAATTAGCATGAATTAGTCAACAAGACATCTAGTGGTGCACGATAATTATCGGCCCGATATTAGGAATTATGACGTCATCCCGATAAACCCGATAAAAGTATTAATAGCCCCGATAATATACAATATATTTTTTGGGTAAAAAAAAAGCAAAAAATACTGCGGTGTGGGTGGATTGGGATGAGGGGCGCTTGTTTTTCACTCAGCTCCTCCCGTTTTGCCAGTACTGTGGTATTAGTGGTTTAGGAAGAGGGGAGTTTTTCACAAATCCAGCGCTCCCTAACTCATGCCTGGCTGTGACGTAAATGGTGTGCGGCCGTGAAGCCTGGACAGTAAACAAACATGTCGTCGGTAGTATGGGACTATTTCAAAGTTTCAGAGTTAGATAGTTCGCTTGCTATTTGTATTAACAAATGCAATGCAGAAGTTCCACGAGGAGGGAAAAAGGCAACGAGCTATAATACTTCCAACCTGATTAGTCACCTGAAACATCGACATCGCNTGATTGGCTGTGCTTTTTACAGCGCCACGGCTTCCACAGATGACATTTTTTAATGGATTTTTTGTCAAAGCACTTCAGATATTCATTGCTATCGGGATGTTAAGAGCATTCCATGGAATATAACAAAAAGTGTATCTCGAGCCAGTTTCTCAAACTTACCTACCCCACCTTTAAGAGAGCCGAGCCAAATGATCCGGCTCACTAACGTAAAAAGACAGTATCTATAAGGGACGGCTCAAGTCAAAATTCAGGGGTAGACGCCCTCTCAGCCCTGGTCTGGCAGAAACACTGATCTGAGTACTTCTACTTCTACTCAAGTACAAGATCTGAGTACTTCTACTTTTACTCTAGCACAAGATCTGAGTACTTCTACTCAAGCACAAGATCTGAGTACTTCTACTTTTACTCAAGTACAAGATCTGAGTACTTCTACTTTTAATCTAGTACAAGATCTGAGTACTTCTACTTTTAATCTAGTACAAGATCTATACTTATACCACCTCTGTTTATAGCCTATGAAAAAAACTATTAGAAAACGAAGCCTAAAGCTAACGTTAGCAGATATAATATTAATGTATGCTAGTTAGCTAGCTCAACGATTCCTTAAATAATATTGCGACAGAAAAACTTTCCAGTTCACAGGGAGCTCTGCTCTGAACACCTGAACGGCCTGTTTTAACAGCTGTTCACCAGCGGTCCGGTCTGTGCCACAGTGACTCCGGACCGCACAGTTACTGTTAACGAACGCACCGTAGGTAATGTAGCTGCTGAAGCTAGACCATCATCGCCGAGCAGCAGAGTTCAGCCGACAGACAGGAAGACACGAGCACACAGCTCGCGCTTCATTGTAATATATATATATAATGTGCTCGTCATGATGGCACATAACAACTCGCTTTATCTTGAGATATTCTTGATGACATCATTCTTTACATAGCCATCCTTTCAATTGTTTTAAGCTCAATAATAAAAACAGATAATATTTGATCAGAATTTCTCCCATTTGTCTGGGACATATGATGCTCTTTTTCAGGTTTCATATTAGGGCCCCTTTAAAACCTTTCCAGACACTAGTTAAATTACAGTATTTCACATGTTGTGGCGATCGTAAGACACCATGCTCGTACCTTTCTGGTCATGGTGTCCATATCTATGTCGGCTCTCTTGGCCCACTTCTGCCAGAACTCAGGGTCGTCAAGGGCGATGTCGTTCCGGTTCTCAGAGGCCACGAAGCTGGCCTTGGAGAACGTGGAGCCCTTGCCCTCGTTCTCGATGGTGATGGTGGTGGCTCTTCGCTGCAGGATCTGGTCGATGTCCTCCTCGCAGAAGCGATTGCCTTCATCGTTCTCGTCCATGATGGCGGCGTAGGCTCCTTTCCTCAGCAGGTCCTCGATCTCCTTCTTAGAGAACTGCTGCACCGGCTAAAGGCGACGCAGAGAGATATTTACACAAGTGGATTTAGAATTATATTTTCGAAATAAACTAAGCTTACTGCAACAGCGACTGACCCAAGAATGACGTGGCATCTAGAAATATGACAGATTTTATTTTTCTCACCCCGTTGTTGTTGCCTTCTTTGTTCCCACTCATGCTCTGCAGGACGGCACGGTCCAGCCCGAGCTTCAGACTGGCTTTATCCAACATTTCCCTCTCATAGGAGTTCCTAGTGATCAGACGGTACACCTTCACCGCCTTGGACTGGCCAATACGATGACACCGAGCTTGAGCCTGAAATAAGAAATTAAAAGAGGGGTCAAAAGAGCATCATGTGCAACTGCTGTTCAACGTTTTTAAGCATTAAATGGGAAAATATACACTTAAAGAACCGAGGGAATAAACGGAAAGACTGTTTGTTGTTGTAGCCCTATTGAACTATCTTTAGGACAGACAGCAGATATATATCTATCGTACCTGCAGGTCATTTTGAGGGTTCCAGTCAGAGTCAAATATCACACAGGTGTCAGCAGCAGTGAGGTTGATACCCAGGCCTCCAGCCCTGGTACACAGCAGGAAGACGAATCGGTCCGAGTCGGGCTTGCTGAAGCGGTCGATGGCAGCTTGTCGTAAGTTCCCACGCACTCTGCCATCGATTCGCTCGTAAAGGTATCTGTTAAAGAAATAACATTCCTTACATTAGCACATCTCATAACTCCTCACAATACTTTCATGTTATGACAATCTTTATGCTTTTAGAGCCACCTTGGCCCTCTTACCTCTTGTTGATGAGGTAGTCCTCCAGAATGTCCAAGCAGCGCACCATCTGGGAGAAGATGAGCACCTTGTGGCCGCCGGCCTTGAGGCGAGGCAGCAGCTTGTCCAGTAGCACCAGCTTGCCGGCCGAGCGAATCAGAGCCTGCAAATGGAAGTCGGAGGCCATGGGGTCGTACACCTGCCGCAACTCCGTAACGATCTTCTCCTCCGCGCCTGGACAAGAGGCACAGTTATATTATGTTATCGAACTATGCAAATGCAGTTCAGACTGCTTAGTGTGTGAAAAAATTGTTTTATTTAATATAAGACCATTTTCTAAAGTGCCACCAAATAAATAATATAACAATTACTCTAAAATGTTTTTATGAAAAAGTGCAACATTTAGATAGCAGTAAGCACAATATTTGGTAAAGTCAAAATATGTTCATATTTCTGATGCAAAATCAGTCAAAAATAGCACTTAATTACACATTTTCCCCCAAATAATTCAGCCCTTATAAATGCAAACTTCAATTACGCTGGATGTTATGCTATTTTTTTTTAATCCAACTGCTTTCATTCAGACGCGATGTTTACAGTGAGAACAGCAATAACATATGTGACCTGCTCTATCGAAATCAGTCGGAAGTCGCAACGGCTCATTTCAAAATAAACGTGGATTTGCGTAAAAAAACATTTTTTCGGGGTTCGGGTGTTTTGTTTGATTTTAAACAAACAAAGTCTTGGCTTTCAGAATATGAAACTTTTATTTCCAAACTCACACGATAAATACATTCTTTAAGCTTATAAAGGGAAGATGACAGGCAATCTGCTCCCCCGCAGCGCCGCCCCCCCTCCCTCCGGCTGACATTATGAATGTAAGCGTAGAGTAATCATAAATAACACGGCAGGGTCCGTTACAGTTTGTTTTCATCTGATTTCAATTAAACAAAGTCTTGGCTTTCAGAATATTAAACTTTATTCGGCAAATTCGGATGATAAATACAACTTTGAAGCTTGTAACGGCATAATTACAAGCGGAGAACGGAGTAATTTAACGTCACAGCAGGCATAACAACAGCCGGTGTTTCTCGTGAGGGTTTTCCCCGGGAAACAAACGCAATACACACAAACGCAAAATTACACAAACACACACACACGTATACACACACTCGCAAGCTTCTCCCAGACCAGTAATCCAAACGAAAATATCTTCCCTCCGTAGTATTTTGATCATTTGCTCCGCTAATAATCAATCAGATCGATGGATTCCAGAGAAGAGAAAACTTTGAAGGCGTTTTTCTCAAAATGATGACAAGGTGACAGTCATTATATAATGTGACATATTTTGCTTAATATTTGGAGTACAAAAACAATCCTGATATCATTAGAAAGCTAGGAATATCGTCTTTCCAGCAGTGTATAGAACTCAAAATGTGTCTTCGGGTCAATGCGACTGATTTCGAAAGAGCAGGTCACATATGAAACAGTTAATTTTGAGACTGAATAAAACAAACATACATGCAGACAACGAGATGCGTAATATGAAGAGCTAATAAGTTCATACTGTGATGACATACCATTGATGAGGTAGGGGTGGTTGCAGCACTTGCGTAGCTCCATCATAGTGTTGAGCAGGTTGGGGACGTTGCTGTTACTGGTCACACCTAAGCTGAGGAAAGTGAAGTTCCTCTCCAGGATGGCCCGGTAATACTTCTTTTGGACATCCGTCAACTCAACCTGAGATCAAATACAGTGAAATAATTTCGTTGTTGCCTTATTTGTGTCCTTCAGTTTACATCGCATGTTCATTATTTACACCTACCTCAATGATGGTTTCCTGTTTGGGCGCCAAATTCTTCTCGACATCCTCTTTGAGTCTTCTTAACATCATGGGTTTCAAGATGGCCTGCAGCTTCTGAACCTATGGGTCAAAGTAAATCATTTTCTTAGTGACAATGTCAATGATGAGTGTGTTACAATTGCAAGTTTCATTGCCAAAGTGAGTGTATATTCCACACCTGTTCTTCTGTTTTGAGGTCCCCAAAGTCTCTGAGAAATTCAGTCTCAGAGGAAAACTGAGCCGGCTCCAGGAAGTGAAGCAGGCTGAAGAGTTCCTCCACTGTGTTCTGGAGAGGAGTGCCGGTCAACAACACCTTGTGTTCCTGGGAGAATCAACAGATAGCACATTTAGGAGATAGAGAGGGAAAGGGTAGGGCAAAAATATCAATCAGGCAGACAGGTAAGTGAATACCAAATACAAAGGAAGTATTTCAGGGAACAAAGAACTTTCTTTCTCTGCAAATTTGACCATACGTTTTGTTTCAAAATGACTCACCAGATCCAACATCTTCAAGCTGTCCAACAGCTTGCAGTTGCGGTTCTTGAGTCGGTGAGCCTCGTCGATGATCACGCAGCGCCAGGAGATCTCCCTCAGCTCCGGGCAGTCGGACAGGATCATCTCAAACGTTGTGATGAGGGCGTCAAACTTGTACGCACCAGGGATCAAGTGATCCTGCAGAGAGAAGGGCCATCTTTTATTCAACATGTGTAAGAGACAAAATGCAAACAAGGGTGGAAATAGAAATCTCTCTTTACATTTATAAATGTTTGTAATAGATTATTTTTGGATCTTTTTTGTTGTTGTCTGAAAGTGTAGGATTGATCAAATATTTTAGGTTATTTCAGACAAGAACGTTTCTTTGATAATTACACAAAATTTGTTGTTTTGTTTGTTTATGTGGATATATTGTGTAAATGTAGAATTGACTGATTGAGTGTGAGCTGCAGGAAGAATAGCCAGTGCCCATATTTGGGTTAATGGGGAATTTTTAACAAGTTAATTGACAATCTAATAATAGTTAGATAAATAAAATAAAGTAATAACTCCACCTTGTCATCCTTGAAGTACATCTCGTACTGCTGGATCATCTGTCGGCTGGCCAGGCTGCCGTGGTACACGATGGCGTTCATGTCGGTCCATGTGACAAACTCCCTCTCCCAGTTGGTGATGGTGGAGAGTGGAGCGATGATCAGGAAAGGGCCGGTGACGCCGGCATCGTACTCCTCCGACAGTAGCGCGATGGACTGGATGGTCTTCCCCAGACCCATCTCGTCTGCCAGGATACAGTTCTGCCTGAGAGACAAGACACAGGGAGTCATTAGTGACGTGTTGGGAGAAGCAATTGACAAGCATTATGCAAACCTGGTTAAAGATGACAATGCATTTTTCTTGTGTTATTGATAATGTGCAGCAAACCAGTCATTATAGCAAAAGAAAAGAAAACTTCATTTTTATATCTGGTTGTACAAAGTTTTCTGAATCTTAACTGTCAAAGTCTGTTGACAAATTATTTTCCCTCTAACCAGTCTGCCAGAGCCCATACTATGTCCCATTCAGTGTTTAATTCCTGTCTGTCTGTCGTCGTCTTCTTCTTCTACTCTGACTCTAATGTCTTTCCTTCTCTAGCACTGTTTTCTTAATTTCTTTCATTTACTGGGGACAATTTAGCCATCCAACATTTGCTGCTCTAAATAACTTAAAATATAAATATTCAAAAAGTATTGAATGGTGGAAAAACAAATATATTTTTTGGCCACAGCTTAAAGTGACGGGACTTCTTCCTGCGTATTGATATGACTGCACATAGTCCCTTGATCAGCGCGTCCTAAGCAACGGTCTTCTATCGGAAAAAGAGGAGACCACTGAATCTCCAAATTGACCAGTTATAATCAAGTATTCAACTAAGCTGTGTTATAACCTCTTATAAAACGGACCAGTCAAATCAAGCAATCTGATTGGTTCTTAGCTGTGATATAATGAGCGTATATCACGGGTAGATTTGTCGTTACTTTTCACAACAAGTCAGTATCCCTCCGCGTCTGAGAAAAGCTACAACCGTTACAACTCCGGGCCGAACCACGCCCCTTAACTGTGATATAATGGCCATATACCACAGCCTGTCATGAGCTATTGCTTAATTATACAATACTTTTCTATAGTTGCTACTACTGTAATTACAGCACCTTACCTGGTAATCCAATCCGAGTGTGGCATCAAAATGCAACATCCTACAGGTGACTATTGAGTGTAGTGCTTATCTCCTCTGTGTGATAATTACCTGTTGTACCAGTTGAAGAGCAGCCAGTTGACTCCTTCTAGCTGGTACTCTCTGAGTATGTTGGAATTTTTGTACTCTCTGGTTTCCTCCAACTTTTTCCATGCACTGGCAGAGGGCCGCGCCTGAGGAGAGGAATGAAAAATGAATCAAAGAGTCTATGGGAATGATACACCAATTGCTCCTGTAGGCATGTTTACAGAATTGAAGTGTATGCAAGTCACTTTGGATAGAAGCGTCAGCCAAATGACATGTAATGTGAAGTACCAAACACTTTCGCTATCTTCCCCCTGAATGCTCACCGTTCTTTTCAGGCGGGGTTGTCGGTTTAGAATTTTGCTGAATTCTTCGACCTTGCCCTCATCCACGTCCTCCTTCAGCTCCCAAGTGGCGTCTTCATAAGGGAGAGAGCACCACTTCACCAAGTAGTAGATAACAGGCTAGAGGGAAAAGCAAGAATTTATCAACCATTATCAAATATCATACTTTATAAGAGAAGGGTCATGCTTCTTAAGGGTTCAGTTCAGTAGCGCGGTTTCTCAGGGAGAAGCCTGATCTCTCACCTCGCCATTGTCTTTGTCCACACTGTGGGAGACGTCCAGGATCCTGTCCACCTCCGTATAGTCTGGGTTGAAAGCCTCCTCCTCCTGAACAGAACCACAGGGTCAGTACAAAGTTCAAGCTTTAGAACTACATGCTAAAAATAAGAGCTTCCAGGGTCTTCCCCCGTCTCACCTCCTGGAAGAGGTGCCTCATCTGTGCCTGCTTGGCCTTGAACCTCTTGATCTTCTGATGGATCCTCTTATCTTTCTCCAGCTGACTCAAACTGGCCCACTCACAGTGCATGTATGAACTGAGAACAAGAGTCAGGATTTACTCATTTAGCTGTCTGCTCATGAAATAAACCAAAGTTACGGATTGAGATATTGAAACTTACTAGTTCTTGTATTTTACAAAGAATTCCTCAACGTTGGTGTACTGGCCCACACAAACCTGGAAAACAAGGAACGATGATGGGTTTTTATGATTCTTAAAAATGGGATTCAATAATGGTATTGGAATGAAATGAAATAACACAATGCACATACTTCCTTCTTGGTTAGCCTCAAAGACAGAACTTTGTCTACAATAGCAGCATCTTCTTCACTTGGGTTTTCCTGTTAAAAAAACAAACAATTGATACCATTAAAAAAAAGGGGCCTTTTTGAGTCTGGGGGACAAACTACCGGGAGGGAATTTGGGGATTTAAGCCTTTGCAGACCATTTACATGCACACAAAGCTATATAACAAACTACAGGGGGAAAGCATAATATGGCCCCTTTAAAAAGGCGTCAATTTTCTTAATATTTTAACATATATCATGAATAAAGCAAAAACCCCACCCTATGACAATCCTTTCACTTTGACGCTCACCACAAAGAACTGCATGCTGGGCTGTCCGTCGGCGTCCAGCTCCAGCTCCTGTTTGAGCTGCGCGGCTGACCCGCCGCTGATGGAGGCCACAGCTGCTGCGGTCGTAGTAACGTCTACATCCTCCTGCTCGTCCTCATCGTCCGTTATCTTGATGTCCAGGTCCTCTGTGTACTTCTTCCTTTTCACCACGCGATTGGAGCGCCTCTGCTGGCCGGAAGACAAACGTGTAGTGAGTGCGATTGTAAAAGGTCAAGCAGATGAAGAGATGGGCACACCCCACTTTTCACATCAGAACAGATGTGATGAATCGTTCAGCGTCTGTGCCTAACTGTACATTTTACAGCAAATTCCTTCTCTGCAACAAACGCCTACAGCTGATCTGGAGTGTGCATCCATCTGTCATCTCTCAATCTGTCACTGTTCCACACACTAACATGTGGATTTTTGTAGTTTAATTGACTGAGACAGTAGTACAGTTTTGACATTTTCAAAAAAAGGACATCTGACACCTTAGCACCAACAAGGAGAATTTATAAAATGAGGCTACATCTGATAAACAACAGGGACCGTATTCACAAAGGATTTTAGGGCTAAAAGTAGCTCCTAACTGGCGAATTTAGGAAAAACTCCTAAACATAATGGGCGTGTAGGTCTTAAATTTAGGACTCCTAATTTTATTCACTAAGAGCAATTCACAAAGTATTTTAGGCCTAAAAGTAGCACCTAAGTTTAGGAGAGCTTAAAAGTCCTCGAGAGGACTCCTAACTCAGTAAGACCTATTCACAAAGAATCTGAAAATGGCTGCGAGACGAAATGTTTTGGAGACAATGGAAGACTGTGAATTGATCAAGAGATATAGGATAAATCGTGAGGGTATCAAACTTGTTGTGGAATTAGAGCGGGATGCAATAACATCCCCGACTAACAGGAATAACCAGATTAGTCCGGAAATAAAATGTTTGGCAACACTACGATATTTAGCAACAGGGAAAATGCAACTTTGCAATGCCGACAATTTAGGAATATCGCAACCATCAGTCAGCTGTGCCATAAACCAAACCATCAACGCGCTCTCTAGACCACATATCATCCAACAGTTTATCCGGTTTCCTTTGGACAATCAACAACTACACAGGATCAAAGCCAACTTCATGGCAATTGCAGGTATGCCCGGTGTGGTCGGTGCTATTGACGGGACGCACATAAAAATAATTGCGCCATCAAAAGATGAGGACGTGTTCGTCAATAGAAAGAGAGTACATTCCATCAACACGCAGATTGNCTGAGGCTCCTTAGTAAACTGTGGTAACATGAAGAGCCGTTTGGGAGCCGTGAAAAGCAATTTATTTGTAGGGGGGGGGCTATAATAGCGCCAGCTATTTCGGCTCCCAAACGGCTCTTCATGTTACCACAGTTTACTAAGGAGCCTCAGTTTTGCTGCTGCGAGGCTCTGGTGCTCGCAGCTCACGCGCGTGCTCCACTAGCACCACTCATCGCGTCCAAATCGTGCACGTTCCGTGTTGTCCTGTAGCAGGCACCTTCGATGTCGGGGAAACGATCTTCAATACTCCGAAAATAATCCCACCAGACTCCTTTGCCCCTCCAACAGATGGATGTCCTTGTCCGGTTTCCTTTTCGTCATTTCAAGCGATAAAAACTCTCTATCTTCTCTCAAATTATTAATATTTTTGGACGCCCTCGGCTCGAGTTCAGGGCGTCCCTAGCTGAATAGGGGCGGGAAATGAGGGCGTCACATGACGGCAAGACGCTCCCCTGGCGGAAACGCTGACTCAGATATTGTGCTTGAGTAAAAGTAGAAGTACTCGGATCTTGTACTTGTAATTACAGGCTACTGGAACACTAGCTTTTATATGAAATACTTATTCATTGCGATGTAACCAATGTTACTTCACTCCCAATAGAACACCCTCGTGATCGACACTCCAAGAGTCCGCAAGCAGACCCGCCAGTTCTCCAGTTTACGAGGTGAAGGTGGAGACCTGTCCGATGACAGCGACGATGAATATCCGCCTGCCAACTCCAGACAGTCGCGGGCCTCCCGGCGCTCCGACCGCCACAGTGGAACTGGCTACGGACGCACAGACTGTTTCCGGGTGGAGAAGCACCTGCTCGTCTATGGGTACGTACACTTTGCTGCTCAATTTCCGAATGTATTCTCTTCGGCCTCGTCCCTTTTCCTTACTCTGCTTCCTGTTTTCTTCTTCTCCTCCAGTTGGGGTCGCTGGAAGGACATCTTGTCCCACGCCAGATGTAAGCGGCGTCTGAGTGAACGTGACGTGGAGACGATCTGCCGCGTCATCCTGGTGTTCTGTCTGCTCCACTATCGGGGAGATGAGAACATCAAGAGTTTCATCTGGGAGCTCATCACACCACCGGAGAACGGGCGTGAACCCCAAACACTTCTCAACCACTCTGGTACACACACAATGTTTAAAATATCTGTCAACTTTCTCAAAAAGGGGATGAATTACTTTTTTTGGAGAAGGAAAAAGTACAAACTCCTACTAAAACCACAACCTATTTTCTTTTAGCCAAAGCTTGTACCTTATCTGTTGAATGTTTTAAAAATAAACGTTTTGTTTTCTTCTAGGCCTGTCTATCCCTGTTCCAAGAGGCAGGAAGGGTAAGAGGGTAAAGGCCCAGAGCACATTTGATATTCAGAAGGTGGAGTGGATCCGCAAGTTCAACCCTGACACCCTGCTACTGGACGACAGCTACCGCAAGCACCTCAAGCACCAGTGCAACAAGTGAGTGAAGCCCAATCAGCTGTAACTCACTGTGTGTCATTTAGCCTCCATGTCCAAACACTGAAACCTCTCCTCTCCTACCTCAGGGTGCTGCTGAGGGTGCGGATGCTCTACTACCTGAAACAGGAGGTGATTGGAGAACATTCAGACGCCGTCCTGAAAGGGGCTGACATCAGGTACTGAATCTGCCCTTAGTACATTAAGCTAAATGCAGAACACACAGGCTCCATTACGGAACACAGTATGCCATGGAGTTGTTAATTTTATTAAATTTCGTCCAGGGATGTTGACATCTGGATGCCTGAGATGGAGCAGCAGGAGTTCCCCGCAGGATGGTGGGACACTGAGGCAGACCGCTCACTGCTTGTTGGCGTATTCAAACATGGTAGGATTTTTCTCTATAACCATGTTATAACTGAAATAAGCACATGGGTTAATTAAAACACGGGAAAACCTGCAAAGAATAGTTGATAAACTCCTTCCCCATTGCCAGTGGAAGTATGCCCTAGTACTTACTAATTTATATTTTATATATAATTATCATTCAGTATTTCTTTTAAGCTCTCAAAGCAGAGTTATGGATGTTGAAACAGTGGAAAGACTAAACAAGATGGCTTTAATGAGTTTTCTTTTACTTTCTGTGGATTTTGAATCAAGTGTGTTTTTTATAATGTTCAGCAAGGTAACATTACCAAATGATTAGGTGGAGTCTTACGTGTTGCGTTGTTAATAACGAATGGATTTGAATTGACTTCAACACACGTCAAATGGCAACAATTCACCTTTTTCATCACTGCCAATGGGAGCTGGAATAAGTGCTGATATGGACATACATCACTTGTCGTAGGTGTGAAAGGGGATTATTTAAGCTTAATATATTTATGAGAATAGGTTGTGGATATAATACAAAACAGTTTCTTTCAGCGTGGAGATCATATTCACCGTTGTTATGTAACATTTGTCAAGCTGCTGCGTTTGCCACCCTTCTGAGACTGGTCATTTCACAAGGCTTCGAGCATTTTCTCATTTAACACACTTGTCTCTGTTGCCAGGTTACGAGATGTACACCACTATGCGTGCTGATCCCTGCCTCAGCTTCCTGGAGAGAGCCGGTCGGCCCGACGACAAGGCCATCGATGCTGAGCAGCACACTGGTGACGCCGAGCTGGGAGATGAGTGAGTAATGCTGAATGCAAATGTATTTGTTTATACATTTATAGCAGTATTACCAGTAGAAGTGGATATTGTTTAATTGTAGACATTTTCTCATTTATGTCCATTCTAGAGACCCTATTATAACCACATTTCAAAATGTCAAATGCTTGTCGTTAACTACACGATACCTTTACATTTGGTGTCCCTTTACTAAACACTTCTTACCTTTTTTTTTTTAGAAAATGTATTAATAATAACCATTTCTGATTGTTTGTGTTGTGCAGTGCTGATTTTGATAAATACTCAGAGGACCCGGAGTTCAAGCCTGCGTCAAGACACGCCAAAGATCTGTTTGACGAGGTATGAATCTGATCCTTCGTATTAAAACTTGTCTGCACTGGTCGATTCCCGAAGAATATTTTGTAACTAAGCAACAGTGATAAACAATTGAATGAGTCTCCTCTGATCTCGTGTTGCAGACTGACTCCATGAACGTGGACGATGAGATTACTGTGGAAGACAAGGTGGGCCCGGTGATCACGGAGAGCTTTTCCAGCGTTAGCGGTGCGTGCGACTGGCCCTCCAGCTCTTCGCTGACGGCGCGCATGCGGCGGCTGATCACGGCGTACCAACGCAGCTACAGGCAGGTGCAGCTGAAGATCGAAGCGGAGGCGAAGGGCGACCGCAGGCGCAGGCGCTGCGAACAGGCCAGCAAGCTGAAGGAGATCGCACGGCAGGAGCGCCAGCAGAGGTACGCTGGGGCTGCATTATGGTTTTAATGTGACACTCATGGTAACAGAAGTTATATCTTCAGTGTTGCAGTGTTTTTATCCTTGAAGGTAACAGATGTAAGAAATGTGCCTGTAAGCGGTTTTGTTTTAAATGGACAATTGATAGAATCAAATTAATTTTTATGCTACGATAGTCTCATTAGATATACAATCTGTAGGGACCTGCCAATTCAAAAATACATTATTTTCTTTCTCATCCTTCACTTAGCTCCACTGTCTGTGTTTCCCCCAGGTGGACGCGTAGGGAAGAATGCGACTTCTACCGCGTGGTTTCCACTTTCGCAGTGCAAAAGTTTAAAAAGGAGCCAGGACTTCCTGAGGCAGGAGAGCCTGAGTTTGACTGGAACCGCTTCCGTACCTTTGCTCGTCTGGACAAGAAAACAGACGAGAGCCTCAGTCGATATTTCCGCTCTTTTGTCGCTATGTGCCGGAGAGTTTGCCACCTGCGCACTGGCCGCGAAGGTAACTACCACTAAAAATGCATTTTAAACAAAACCTTTATATTATTTTTAACCTCGGGGGCTGCGGGCTTTTTTTTCATGAAACTTTGTCTAAGGGCTTCTTAACATTTAACAACCTATGAATGTGTCATACCCACTTAACGGGAAGAAAAACTCAGCTAACTGACGTTACGAACCATCTTTAGCTAAACGAAACACAAGGGTAATATCAAGCCTCTGAATTAGCCCTGAGCGAAAAAATGCTAACGCACTTAGCACAGAACTCACGGTAGAAATGCTTTATTACTTATCGGATCTGCACAAACAAGATATCAGATTAAAGCACAGATTCCACAGATTCTAGAGGTATAAGTATCATCACTGTGAGACCAGAACTCAGGGTAGCAAAGGCAAACCCAGACAACACACAACGTAGCTTTACAGGGCCAAAACGGCAAATCCGTCTTACCTTTGCTGTGTTCTGATCAAAAGTTGTGTTCAATGGCATTAAAACGATAAAAACGCTGCCGAAGGTTAATCCAATGTCTCTGTGTCCCTTTGAAATGATTACTGATAATACATCATCATATTTATGGAAATAAGTTTTCAGTTTTCAGAGCGTAACATAGCTTTCGGTTTGGGCAAGCTGCGTGTGCATCACTCTCACTCCTCAATGGTAACGTGTAGGTGGATTTAGGAACTTCTCCTCAATTATATTGGCCCGAGGGGGGCCAGAGATATGGCAAATCCACCCAATTTTTTTTAAAAACCTCTCTAAAAAGGTCAAATTTCACTTGTTTCGCATCAATCTTTATACTGGGTACTTATTATATGTTATAGTTTGGATTCCTAAAGCTTTTAGTCTCCTATCCCATCATTCAAGGGTGGTTTTCACTGTAAGAAATGTTTTTTATTTGGACGGACCCTAGTTTACATTTTTTTACAATGTTCAATCTGAATTTACTTGATTCTGACTTTTATACATCCAACTCACAGGTTTATCATTACTTTGAGAAAAAGGATTATTAATTTTCCCCTTTTTAGAAGTGAAGATATAGTCATTTGTTCTGGGCATGTCATTTTCGAGCCTGAGACCTGAAAAACAGGCTCAGGGCTTAACCGGTTAAAAGCAGAGTCCCATTATAGTAAGAATGTCTTCTCTCCCCCTCAGATGTAGTCGAGCATCCCCAGAATGTGGCCCCCATCACTGAGGAGCGTGCTTCCCGTACCCTTTACCGCATCAGCCTGCTGCGTCGCCTCCGTGAGCGAGTCCTGCCGCATCCACTGCTGGCGGAGCGTCTTTCTCTGGCTCCGAACACCTCCGAGCTGCCCGCCTGGTGGAATATTCCCGAACACGACCATCAGCTGATGCTCGGGTCGTCCCTGCACGGCGTCAGCCGCACCGAGCTCTCCATCTTCCCAGACCCTCAGTTCTCCTTCAACCAGGCTCGGGATGAGTTTGTCCTGACCCAGCAGTCTGCTCCACCTCCGCCTATCATGCCCATCATGCCCAACATCCTGCCAAAGGTGGAGGAGGACATGCCTGTTGTGAAAGAGGAGCCGGCTTACGAGGACTCCCTGCTGCTTGGAGGAGAAATCAGTGCCGTCCTGCAGAGCACGCCCAGAAGTCATCATGATGGCAAGGAGCGAGGGCAGGGCTGGAACATCAAGAGGAGCAAGGGGAGGGTTGGGAAATCAGGAGAGAGGAAGGGGGAGGGAGGCTCGGATTCCGATTCTGACTCTGATTCAGGCTCGTCGTCGTCTGGGCGATCAGGCAGCAGCGATGAGAGTGGAGAGAGTGATGAAGAAAGAGGTAAGTTGCTATTTCACAGAAAAATTATAAATGCTTCAAGAATAAACCAAATGTAACAGTTTCCCCTTTCCTTTTCTTAGCACGCATGAAGATGTGTGACGTGGACGGAGACAACAGTTTACTCTCTATGAGCACATCTCAGGACGGCCTTCTTCCCCCCGATCCTCTCAGAGTGGATTGGCCCAAGGTAGTTCATGTACAATTTATCATTGTATGTTTAACTTCATTCAAATCTCAAAGCATTTCTCTTGGAGGATAAATCATTGCATGTATTTAAACTAATTCAGGATTAGTAAAGCACATCTAATCTAATATATGATTTTATTGTTGCTCTTTCTTTGCCTCAGGACCGCGTGTTGATCAACCGCCTGGACAGTTTGTGTACGCTGACGCTGAGCGGTCAGTGGCCCACGGGGCGGCGCTACCTGCCTGAGGCTCAGCTCGCCCCGAGCTCAGAGCTGGGGGGAGACGAGATGGCGTTCACGAGGTTGAACCGAAAACCCGGCGGCACACCAGGGGCCCCCGGGGAGGAGGGTGAAGATGGGGAGTTCACCGTCAAGCTCCTTAAGGTGAGAAAACAACAACACAACCACAATCTGTCACCAGTGTGAATCTGACAGGTCTTAAAGAGGCCCTATTATTGTTATGGGGTTTGTTCCTTTCTGTAGTGTGTTTATGTAGGGTTTTAGTGCATGTAAATGGTATGCAAAACATAAAATCCCACAGTTCCCTCAAGAGGGACTTTCTCTCTCACACTCCCCTGCCTGAAACGTCTCAATTAGACTACTTTGTTTACTTCCTTAACATACTGACATGGCTACATAACATTGCTTTCATTTGCTTCTGCTCCAACACATTGATAGACGAGATATGAGCTATGGGGCAGGACATTTCTTATTGGTTGCTCAATCACAACGGTGCTGACCAGTTAGCCAATCAGAGCACACTGGGTTCTGGTTTCAGACAGAGGGTGAAAAGAGGTGCTGCAGCACAGGCAGTATGAGAAAAAAAAAACTACCTTTTTCAACATTAAAGCATGTAAACATGTCACAGAAGAGACACAAATACACTTATGAGACTGAAAATGAGATAATAGGGCACTTTAACATTTGAGCTGTAATCATGCAGCCCTGCTACAGGGTGAAGGGTGATATGGGCTCTATGGCTAATTTAGAGGTCTCTGTGTGTCCCCTGTCAGGAGGAGGGGCTGAAGCTGACCTTCTCTAAGCACGCCATGATGCCCAACGGATCAGGGGGAGAGGGAAGTGCCCGCAAGAAGCGCAAGGACCAAGACGTAAGTGTGTCAGATCGGCATGAGCTCCTCTGTAGTCCAGGAAGAGTCGGATGGGAAAACAGAAACTGCTCTGGATTTTAGTTTGATCACTTTGTTTTGGCTGTCTCTCTTTTAGTTATCAGACCCAGATGGACTCAATGATCCTCTGGAGAAAACTCCTCGGCGCAGGGACCCCCCCACCTGGTTGAAGGAGAACCCAGATTATGAGGTGGAGGGAGACATGTTGGAGGTATAATTAGGGCATGCATTTTAGCTGATGATGAGCTGTCATACATATAGTTGCGATTAACGATTTTATACTCCGTCTCTGTTCATTTTGGCTTTTGCCTAAAGCCATGTTAGTTTCTATGGCTACTCATCAAATGCCATCATCAGTACAGGAGTGTCAATTCATCTTCATATCGTTTGCAGGGTCAATGTTTCAACCAATTGCACAGCTGCAACTAGATTAGATCAGACTTGGTGAGTGGGCCGAGCGTATGAAATGAAAACGTGTTTTATAAATGCAACGAAAAAACCCAAGCCTTGTTGACGGTTCCTCATTCAGCTTCCAAACTGTGGCAAGGAGACAGAGGGGAGCCTTGGTTTTGCATCAAGAGATGAAGTTGGTACTCACTTTGGATTCTGTACAATAATGCTTGATAACTGTACTGTAGTTTGTTAGCAAACATTTCTCTGTGTCCATCTTGCTTCGTTAGTAAGATTTACAGAGAAATAATGAGCTGAAAGAAAGGAACCTGTCCAACAGAGGCGAGATTTAGACATCCAAGCTTTTCTCCTGATATAATGCACTTTCTAATTGTTGCCACTTTGTGTCTTAGGCTTTTGTTTCTTTTGTTTGTAACAACTTTGTGAAATGATGGCAGTGAGCTCAATTCATGTCGTTCAGCGGATTATGTAACGATTACTAGAGGCCTCCGTATTTTCACGAGTTGTTCAAGTGTTAAATAAATATGAGGCCCCTGTCTCAGGTGGATTGGGATACAAATGTCTAAAATATTGTTCAGCTATTTCATAATGTGTCTTGTTTCCTCAGCTTCTTGAGAACAGGAGCAAGAGGAAGAGGAGGAGGAGGGCAGACAAAGCCCTGACAGGCAGTGAGAAGGTCAAAGTCATTAACATGCGGACAGGAAAAAAGGTGAGGCACACAGTGATTGGTATCATACCCCTGATTTGTTAGCTGTTTGTTATCTCTTGCTAACAGACACACATGTTTTTCCCTCTGTAGGTTGGAGCTGCTTTCTGTCCGATGCTGCAAGACCTGAAGGAATACCTGCAGGAGAACCCTGACAACGCTGTAGCAGCCGACTGGTCTGAGACTGTTCGGAGCTCTGTACGTACTAAAGATGTTATTACGAGGTTTTTCTCCGCAGTGTTTGAACCTCTAGATCAGGGGTGCCCAACCTTTTTTGAACCAAGAGCTACTTTTAAAGTTGCCAGTCTGCCGAGATCTACCAGTCCAAATAGAGATGGGGGGGCTGGGGTGCTAGCAAACTGTCAACTGGGGGGGAGCCTCGCTGCGGGGAAACGGCGGTGCAACTTCAATGATGCCTTTTTAAAAACATAAAAAATGAAGGGCGGTGACGGCCGTCAGCGGCCCTTGACGACCGGCGGTTCTGTGATTCTACAGATGGCCAGTCCACGGAGGGTGGTAAATACATACCGGAAGTAAAAAAAGACGTGCAACGGGACGGTGTTCCCACGGGAAACAAAACTTAAAATATTAAATGAAACAATCTCATCTCTTAAAATTATTATAAGAAATTATATAAATTATTATTATGAATTAAACATTCACAAATGTATAATGATGTATTCACATGTTTAACTGTTACATATGCACGCAACGAACAGAAGAGCTTAGGGCAGAATTAGGAGGGAATTCCGTCTCGTAGCGTTTGTGCACCTTTCTTTGATAAAGTCACGCTCGCATTGAAGATGAGACAGATGGACTTTGAATTTGAATAGATACAAAAATAATCTTCCTCCCACTCGGAGTGAAAATTATATATTTTGGGCTTTTTTGCTTCTGCCATAATTGCGGTCTTGTGTGTGTGCGGACTGTCACTCCTGTTGCCACGGACAACANAAACAACTCCGACTTTTATCAACAAACAGAAGTCACAGTCAGACTTGTCAAAATAATTAAATAAATCTCCAACAATGACGGTGTCTCACATCAAGAACAAATTCAATGTGAAGTCTCACATCAACAAAAATTAAGTTATAACGTTGATGTTCACCCGTGATGAATATTGAACTAACAAACTCCGATGTTTATTTCTACCGAACAGTTTTTACAGATTTTGTAATAGAAAACACAAAAAAATTAACAAGGTGATGTAAAGTATTACTATTAACGTGTTTACTCCCCTTCAAAAGCAGAATGACACCGTGTCTTTGTTGTTGTTTTTTGAACATTAAACATAACATAATAAAAATTCATTTCATTTCATTGAACAATGACAAAATATTAAATCATTGATTATTTTCCATTGACGCAATGAAACAACTCTCCGTTCATTTGATAACTGGTGCAAATGAAAAGATTTGTCGTTTTGAACGGGTGTGACCATAAGCTGCTCACGAAATTAGCATAACATAATGAACTTGTTATACCGTTTATAAACCCGTTGTTAGTCGCGTTTTTGGAACACCTGTAAAATTTTTTCTTTCTGTAAAATAAAATAAAAAGGATTTTTTCCTGAGGGACTTTACATGTGCAAGACAACAATTACGTAACCAAAAAAATTTGGAGAAACACGTTTATTTCCTTATTTCGTTTTGATCCTGAATAATCACGAAAATGCACAAAAGTATTGTTATTTAGGACCTACAAACTTTCGATTAGATAAAATTTCGTGAAAGTAAAAATATAAAAAGTTGTTTTTCAGATAATACAAAAACCTATCTCGGATTCAAAATACAGATAAATACTTTTTATGTTTGTATTTGTGATTAAATTAATTGATACATTCATATTCGTGATGACATTACATAGAGACTTAAGAAGAACGTAGGTGACATTGGAACATCGCGACTAGGTAAGTGAGTTTCCATCTATGTTATAATCTTTTGAACCTTCAATATTAGTGTGTTCCGAGGCGGGAGATTGAACCTTGGGATACCATGATGAGGGAAGGTACGATACGCTCGTAAGTGATGACTCAACGTATTTGCATCTGGCCGGTTTGTAGCCCCGCTCGGGATGACTATCCGGGTGTCATAAATATTCCGTCCGATTTGCGGAGGGTCGACAGTAGGAAAAAAGAAAGTCCTCGTCGTTGTGGTGAACTTTCATTTTGCAAACCTTTCTTCTTCTTCTCAATAGTTATGGAAGTACCTCAGGCGGTGAAGGTCTCTGCCCGGACAGGAAGGACGACCGAAAATTATTGCCCGCGGCTAGGGGTTGGTGGAGACGAAGTCACAAACGCCCTGCCTATGACCGGTTCCGCCACGGTAAAATTTTGCAAGCGATAGGTCGCCCCGGCCTACGACGGCAGAGCGGCCCCCTCCTCCTACTGGCTCCTTAAAGGAGGCAATGTGATGTTGAAGGCCAGCCGCAGGTACCTTTAGGTGGCGGTCCCCAGATATGAAGGGGGATCCACTACTGGTACCCGGCCGCTCTCGCCCGTGCGGTAGACGAGGGGTCGTTTCGGGTCGGTCCGACCGTCTCCGCTTCAGACGGGGTGACGCGCCACTGTCCCGCCGGGAGCTTTGGTCATCCTGTCACAACCCGTAGAGCTAGGTTTTTTTAGGAATTGGCGTTGCTAGGGGGTGGGAAGCTGGCCCTCCCCAGTCCCTCCGCGTACCATCCACACACCGTGCGGCGCGCCGTCGTAGCCGGTTAATTCTCGAGACGCCAGACTGCCTCACAGCGACGCCGACGGCACACTGTATGTGTGCTGCGGTGGGTCGTACCGTAAAAGGGTTTTCTGGAACTTACTTAGAACGACCCTGGGGGCACATAATAGGTCGTCTATACACTTTATAGACTTACTTAACCACGAAAACTACTATTCTTTTTACTTTAAACGGTGTGACAATCCTCGTACGATTCTTCTAGAATCCGATATCCTCGGTAGGCTGTGGGTGAAAACAGGTAAAACCGCTTATGTTTCTCGTTCACAGTACAAGGGTCAAGGGTGCAGAACAGACATGTAGGGAACGTTCGACCTTTTTTATCTTTAACTACTTAGATACACGCTAGTTACTTTTCTCTCCGGCGCTGCAGGATGAGATGTATTTCGGAACTGGTTCTACAAGGAAAGAGACCCTGTGTGGCTGACACGGCCTACCTATGGTTCAGGGTTTCCTTGTAAAAGTGAAATAATTTACCTCACATCTGGCTATTTAGCATAAACAAAATCAATAATGGTGGATAAACTCAAGAAGAGGTGCTTTCAGCCTTATAAGTAATCTCCAAGTTGTAAATGCGCTGCTGCTCTCGCTGATACTTGCATCTGCCATTGTGTGTGTGTGTGTGCTGGTGGTGGTCGTTGCCGTGTATGTGTGTGTGTTAGCAAGTGTTTGTGTGTCTGTGTATTTTCCCCATAAGGCAAGACCCGCCCAACTCTGTCTCTGATTGGCTTAACCTGAAATGTTACCCCACGTTAACCAATCATCACTCCTCTCTGGTCACTTTCACTTTTCCATGGTACTGTGAGAGGACATCACTGTATTCGCCTGTAAATTACATCTGCAGGGAGATTCGGTTCAGTTGGATCACATAATGTAACGCAGTAACGCACCCATTTAAATCACGGTAACTATAACGGCGTTACTGAATGGGAATAGGTAACTAGTAACGTTATTAGTTAACGCAAAAGGTAGTTGCGTTACAGTAACGCGTTATTCCAAACACTGGTCAATACTGATCTTATTGATGCTGGAGACCAGTCTGTTGTGGCCAGTGCTCTCTTCTTTGCTGCGGTCTGCTGGGGGGCAGCATCAGAGCCGGTGACACCAGCAGAATAAATAAACTGATCAGGAAAGCTGGCTCTGTCATCGGCATCAAGCTGGACACCTTTGAAGCTGTGGTGGAGAGGAGGACACTGAACAGGCTGTTGTCCATCATGGATAACCCCACCCATGATCTCCACCTGCAGCTGGACAGTTAACGGAGCTCCTCCAAAAGACTGCTGCAGCTCCGCTGTCACAAGGACAGATACAGGAAAACATTCCTGCCCACTGCAATAACTCTGTAGCCTACAACAATTACCTCTGGCTGGAAGAGAACTCACTTCTCCACACATTCTCTTGAATAACTGGACTTAAACTCACACTGTACATTTTACATTTATATTCCATTGAATATTCCATTCCTTACACACTTAGGGTAAGAATGGAGAAACCAGCTCGAGTGCGCTAGAATTTGAAAGTACACAACCGGAAAAAATCTGCCTTTTCCTTCAGACTTCCTTACAGAGCCCCTCCTCCAACACACATGAACGCGCACATGACCAATGAGGGCACGAGATAAATTTGTGCACAGATGGAAGGCTGACAGGCAGGCAGGCCATTCGGTTATTTTAGCCGGGCCGGCTCAGATCATTGGTCGTGCTTTTTACAGCGCCACGGCTTCCACAGATAACATTTTTTAAGTATTTATTGTCAAAGCATTTAATGTATTCATTGCTATCGTTCCATGGAATATAACAAAAAGTTTTTCTGAAGTGAATTACCTACCCCACCTTTAATGTATAATATCCTGCTCTATATTTTGTTTATATTTGTATTTGTATTTCAATATGTATATGTTCTACTTTTGTAAAGCTATTTTATTTCTATTTGAGATATTTACATTTTGAATTGTTTATTTCTAGTCTTTTTTTTTCTTCTCGCAGCATAAAGTCTAAAACCACCAGACTAAGGGACTTTCATCCCACAGGCCATACGAATGTTTAACAGCTGAACTTTTGAAAGAACATAAATAACATTCATCTGTTTGCAACTCACATCATATTTCATCATATATATCAATACTCCAATTACTATAGACTATTCTGCACAGTTGGAGGAGCCTGTGACCTAAGATTTCCATTGTCTTAACTACACTGTAGCTATGCACGTGTGACAATAAAAGCCTTGAAACTTTTAACTTCTCTAATGTACTACTATGCCTTGTCTTTTATGCTGCTGCAAAGCCAACATTTCCCAAATTGGGATCAATAAAGTTAGGCTACTTATTATCTTATCTTTGCTCAGCCCCTCTTATCTCAACCATAGACTGTGAAGGACGATAGACTCCAGTCCCCGCTCCCCTCGGTATTGACCGCGCATGCGCCAGTATGAGACACGCCTCTTCTTCTATCTGGAAGCCATGTGGCTGTGGTTGGTAAATAAATAGCTCTAGTAATTGTAGTCTTTGCTTTTATTCTGAATTTCGGAAACAAACCCTGACATTGCAGCGTCGAGGCAGCAAACATGTCTTCCAGCGTGGTGGACCTCGAGGCGCAGGTGGAGTCGGTGCTCGGCGCGCTGGTCAAAGCTGCGACGGTGGAGTTAACGAAGCTGTTCGAGAGCAGATACCGAGCCTCGACGATGGATGTGGGCCGCGCTGATGACAATAAGCAGAATAAAACACAGGATACTTTATCGACTGGGAGCACGACACGCAGCATTGGAGTGCAAGTGGACGAGGACATTTGTCCGCTGTTTGAACTTACTGGTGCGTATGTTTGCAGCTTTAAATGCTTTCACTTCCTGTTTACTTCCATGGCTAGGCTACAGGATTATATTATACATCCATGGGTTGTATGCACGAGGAGAATGCACGCTATATCCTTAAGATGCAAAGTGCAATTAGTAAGATTATATTCAATTGTCAATGTTTTTATTTAACTGTTGCCCAAAATCCTGCATGGTGTCCCCCATTGCTAACCCCAAGTGTAAAGGAATGTATGGGTCTTAACCCCTCCCCCTTCTTCTCCACAGACCCCCCTCTGCTCTCAAATGGAGATTGTCTGGGGGAGTGTAGCGAGAAGGAGGTGCAGGGGAGCTCCACTGCCTTGCAAACCTTCCTGTTTGAAGATAATGGCCAAGTTCACCCAGAGAGGTCGCCTTTGAAGGAACAGGTCAGTGAGAATTTACAGGGGTGTAAAATCAGCTGTGGAATGAAGAAGAACAGGCTGAATGAAACTGTAAACAGCGTTGTGATTGATTGGCTCATCATCACACCCTGGCTCGTTGTTTATCATAGCAGTATTCATTTTCTTTAATGTTGCCTCAAGGATGATCTTCATTGTTCCCATTCCATCCAGTGTACCGCAGACATGCAAATCGTGTTTGTTTCTTCTTCAAACAGGTTGTGGCAGAGATTGTAGATATGGTGGAGGTGAGCGATATTAAAGAGGAGCCTACAACTGATGGTGATCCTCATACAGAAGTTGTTTTACAAGGTAAGGAACACGAAACACACGCTGGCAAACACAAGAATATTGCAAATGGGGTTTAGCTGCAGTAGATTGAAACATTTATTTCTAAATATACTGTACATTATTTGTAATAAGCACATTTTACCAGTGGGAGTTGCAATTGAGAAAGGAGTAGGAAGTGTTCACATAATCCATGTTTGTTAAGAGCAGACTGGGCTCTGGTTTCAGACAGAGGGTGAAAAGAGGTGCCGCCGGATGAGGTTCACTGATGGAAATCATTTGAATTATGATTGTGTAAAGCAGGGGCGTCAAACTCAATTTCATCGCGGGCCACATTAACATTATGGTTTCACTCAAAAGGCCGGTTGTAACTTTAAGAATATATAAAAATACATATATAAATATTTAATATATATAAAATAACGTATTATATTACATTATTGCCTATGCATTGGATTATTTTCTGATAGGATAATAACTTCATAATTAACTACGTCTGAAAGAAGAAGTCTAGGGCAAATAATTGCAAGTCTTTTCAGTGAGAATGTCACAAAATGATTTAAAAAGAAAAGCCAAATTCTGGGGGGAAAAGGAAGTCACATTCTGAAAATAAAGTAACATTTTGAAAAAAAAAGTAACATTTTGAAAAAAAAGTAACATTCTAAGAAAAAGACAACTACTAAGAAAAAAGGCATATTTTTGAAGGAAAAAAAGTCAGACTCTGAGAAAAATTTGAGATGCATTGTGGGACATGTAGTTTATGGGCAACACACTTCTGTAAATCGGCCTGTAACCGTATAATAAACATATTATATTCTTTGCAAGCTCTTATGGGGCCACAGAAAATGAAGCTATGGGCCGGATTTGTCCCCCGGGCCTTGAGTTTGACACCCCTGGTTTAAAGCTTTTTACACAATTGTGCATTTGAAGAATAACTTAAATACCATAAAGTATGGATGATTTAACATGAGATTACACCATCCATATAAAAAATATAGTCTTTGAACTATCAGGCTCTACCCAGGAAATGTATCTGTGACTACAGGGCAGTAACTTGATACCACTGTGAAACTATAAAATACGGCACATGTCTGAAAGGAAAAACTGCAAAGAAACCCCAAACATCACAAAACAAATATTGTGAACTGAACACACTTTAAAACAAGTCTTTATGGTGTCCTGCACAGATTTGTGATGCTTCAATGATAGAACATGAGGCTGCACATCATATCAGTGCATCTACCTGACTTTTTGTTAGACATTTCACAAAACAAATATACACAACTCGGCCACAGAGGAGCTTACGGTCAATTGTGTACTTATGTGTTAAACAAATGACAGAGAAGAGAGAAGTTTAACCTTTAGAGATTTACTATTTCTAAAAAACAATCTCTCTTTAGCAGTTGGAAAACAGATGGCAAGACAAGTCAAAATTAGATTTTTATTTTACCTTTATTTAACCAGGATAGGTCTCATTGAGATTAAAAATCTATTTTTCAAGCGACTCCTGGCGCAAGAATGGTAACAGCACAGTTGTACAACAGTTAGCCAAAGCATTTACAGACACAGCGACCTGCTTCAAGGTCATTTAGAGTTGCCTTGAGTTTGTTTAGAGACACCAGCTCTCTGAGTTTCAGCTCAATTTGCACCTGGTTCCAAGCCACAGGAGCAGCGTAACTGAACGCCCTCTTCCCCAGTTCAGTACGGACTTTTGGTACAGTTGGATGAAACAAGTCCTCGGAACGAAGCCGATAAGATCCTGTGGATTTCTGGTTTATGTAGATCCTTGGAAAGGGTGCACCAAGAATAGCCTTATATATAAGGATGTGCCAGTGTTTCAGTCTATGCGTGGTCAGGGAAGACCATCCAACACGAGTGTATAGATTGCAGTGGTGCGTCAATGTTTTGACATTTGTGATGAATCTCAGTGCACCGTGGTAGATGGTATCCAGCGAGTGAAGGCAATACTTTTACTTTCCCCTCACCACTAGACAACTGATTAAAGACTGCAACCCTGTTTGTTATCATTTACCCATGAACCCCTTTACACTAATCTAATGGCAATTAAATATGTTGGTCCTATGTTTGATTAAGCACTCTGGTCATTGTACATTAACAAAAAATGTATGCCGGTGCAGTTGAAGCTCGATTAAATAAATAAGGTGGGAATGAAACATATAATTATAGGTGCATCTTAATCTGTTTCAGTCTCTGCAGCGACATGGACAGAGGAACCAAGACACGAGTCTCTGCACTACTCCCCAGAAAAAGAGATGCCTCTCATTATCCATCCAGATATCATTTCTGGGAAGAAGGTTACGTTTGTGTGCCCGTTGATTCTCAAGCCTGGGTCTCCAGCCCCCACACCGGACATTCCACAGAAGCCAATCAAAACGGAGCCTCTGCAAGTCTGGGTCAGCACCGCTAACGGCACCGCCTACAGCCCGTCCCCATCTGATGGAGCTGCCACTCCTGCTCAGGTTGGGGCTTTGGAAAACATCCACACACCAGAGGAGACGAAGAACAGCCTCGACATTAAACTGAAACAGTCTCATCCAGACAAAAAGTTGAAGCACGGCTGTGTGGTGCAACTGGTGGACGTGTTGAGGGGGCCAGCATCAGAGGCGAAGCTTCAGGATGCTGTGGCCAAAGGTAATGGTGATAACCGTAAAAACAATTATCCTCTGCCCAAAGACCTCCGCCGCCACCAAGGTCTTCACACCGGCCGCCGCCTCTGTTGCTTCACCCCCTGTGAAAACGGTATCTGGCGGCTTCAGGAGGTGGTCGCCCACTCCCGCGATGGATACCCTTGCAGCAACTGTGGGAAGACGTTCAAGCGAAGGAAGATTCTACGGCGGCACGAGCGCTTTCACACCGGAGAGAAACCCTATGCATGCCTGAAGTGCTCGAAGTCGTTTGCACTGAGGAAGAGCCTCCGGCGCCACTTGAGGTTCCACACTGGGCAAAGGCCACATAATTGTCCGAAGTGCGGCAAAAGCTTCCGTTTGCGAGAAAATCTGAAAGCACATCTGAGGTTTCACACTGGGGAGAAACCGTTTGACTGCGCCATTTGTGGCAAGACGTTCAGGATCGTCAGGAATCTGGAGAAACACAAACGGGGCTGTGTTGGAGTCTTTGTACCTTCCTTCAGGACAATTGCTGGCCTGTAGCCATGGAAACAGATGTTAGTGGCTGGTTTTGGTTGTTATATCACTTTCTACCTCAGACAAAAAACACTATCACTTTTCTAGATGTAATGTTTAGACAAAGAAGTTAAAGCTATGAGAAGAATTGAAACAATAATCCAGTTTCATTCCAGAAAGAATTTAACAACCAACATAAAGAGGTGCATTATGATCTGGCTGTTTTAACATTTGTACCTATACTACTGATTAGTTTTCTTCCACACATGTTCTTTGTTTATTATGCCTTGCCATATTTTGCCTATTGTGATTTTGGACCAATAGTGAGACTGAACAGTGTGAGTTGTTCCGCAACATGACACTTTTCTTTATATTTCAAATCCCTACCCATCTGGTGCCCCCCCATTGGACCTTATAACCAGAAAATGATATACGTTAGTCAACGGCAAGAGACAAAACATGTTTTGATCCTGTTTACATTTTGTTGTGAATGACACATTTGATGTTTTTCATGTGAGAACCTACTGGGATAAAACATGGGATCTTTGCTTCATCAGGAGATGTTTTCATATGTTTATACTATACTTTTTTTCACTTTATACTCATGTCTCTTACCAAAAAGGTTTAGTTTTATATTTCTGTTATGATGACTGAATGTATGTAGATGTCCTTACCTTCATGACCAAGATGTCAAAGCCTATTCATGCTGACTATAGAAATCTAGTTCTTATGTTAAAACCCTTTGGTATGACAAAAGTACTACAAAAGTACTAAAGTGTACTTATGGCCAAACAAATTTGTTCACATGTTGTCTTTTTTTGTTAATTAATCTAAAAAGTTGTTATAGTCCTAATTCATGTCAGATTTATTTTTAAACTTCTGATACTAAATAACATTGTGTTTTAATAAAAAAAATGGTGACATGTATTTTGTTGTCTGCACCCTCGAACAGCTCTCTCATAATCATCCAATATAAAAGATTTATATTTTAACTAATGTATTCATTGATCGGTTAATAGACTAATTACTCTAGCATTATAGTTCTCATATGAAGCCCTTTTAAATGTATGGTTAATTAACTACATGTCTTAAAATCTAGACAATGTGTAATTCTTTGAATAAGACTCATATGCAGTGGTGGGAAATGTAAGTAATGTAACGTTGTCAGAAGGAAAAAAGGAGTACATAGGGAAGTCATGGTTTAAAGAGGAATATATAGTAAAATATCATGATTTGTTATCTTATTTATGCTTTTTAACAATCGTAATCTGTTAAGAAACTAGAAAGTAAGGCTTCAACATAAATATACTGGAGCAAAATAACAAAACTGTCTTCCAAAATGTGGAAGAGTATCGGTGTAAAGTGGGGTCAAATATATGTTTGAGTTAACACCAGAGTTCCCATCATGCTTTGGGTGATGTAAACAGGAAGTAGTCAGTTGGCTCCGAGCTACGGGAAGCGTAGCTATTCATGTGCCGCATTTTTCAACCTAATATATAAATTTGTGTTAATTAACACCACGAAAAGTAATGCAAAATTAGCATGTTTTGTTTAGCTCTCACTGTAAAAATTGTTTTAGTTGCAGACAACAAATAATGTGATTGATATGATTGATCCTGAACGTCATATCTCTGGACATGGGAGAAACGGAGAGGGTACGTTAAGTGAGTAAACACATGTTGTATTTTCAGCAAAGCTCTGACTCGAGAAGATAATACGTTTCAGTTTATTTGGATAGTTGGACTAACCCACAGGAACCAATAACATCACAGCTCTGTGTCATGTAACCTTAGTCGAGCCATGACGGTCTGGACTTTGAGCACTTTTATTGCGCTGTTATTCGTGTTAATAGTTAGTCAGAATACACTTAGTGGTAGAAGGACTGTTCAGTGACTTGACTTCAACAACATATTCTCAAACTAGCAACAACTCAATTAAGCCCAGAAGAGTTCAGATATTTACTGTGAATTTGTTTTACACTCTGTAATAATGTCAATAAGTAAGCAATTGTATTTCTTATTTGTGTTCACTCTAATAATGACGTTTGGGCAATTGTTGTCTGTATTCAACTTTAAAACTGATATTATATTTAGAGACTCTCTTTGCTTAGACCACGCCCACCAGGAAGTACATTTATAAACATGTAGCAGTGCTTTCGCTTTGAGAATTGTGTGTACGGAAGATAGCAGACAAGTTTTACTGAGGTTGTGTTACTCAACTTTAACTTTTAAGGTAGGAACCCTTTTGCTTTTTAACTGCCAAGATCATGCGCTAAGGCTCACTGGTTTTTCAAAACAAACAAGTTTTACGAGGCAGCAGCTGAGTGCTGGACAAACTCTGCAGTTAACCCTTTACTGTGCTCTCTTTGAACAAATAGGGATCAAGTATGGAAGATACGGAGAAATTCAATCTTGAGGAGATGCTGATGTGCCCGGTGTGTCAGGACACGTTCAAGGACCCCCGACAGCTGTCCTGTGGTCACACCATTTGTATGGTCTGTCTGGAAAACATGATGGATCACTCCTCAGACGGCCCTTTCCGCTGCCCAGACTGTAGGGAATCTTTTGGACCCATCGTAGAGGTGCAGAAGAGCTACGCCCTGGCCAATATTGTAGAGCATTTCAGGGTGATCAAGAGGAGGAGGGTATGTGCTATAATGACATGACCATGACACTGTTGAGAATAAACATGGATAAATGTCTCACAAACCTTTCCCTTTTTTCAAAGCAGGAGGAGCAGACAAAAAATGTGTACTGTGACTGCTGCCCGGAGGAAAAAACCCTTGCGTTCAAAACGTGTCTGAAGTGTGAGGTGTCGCTGTGCAAAGAACATGTCAAGGACCACCTGGAGCTCCCCGTGTTCACCGGACACCCTTTGGTTAGCCCTCTGGGGGACCTCCTGGAGAGGAAATGCCCACATCACGAGGACAAGGTGCTGAGGTACTACTGCAACGCGTCCATGCGCTACATCTGCAACGTGTGCACACTGGAGAGCAAGCAGCACAACCTGGCAACCGAGGCCTCCTCTGTCCTGCGAAGACAGCTGACTGTGAGCTTCAGAAACACTGTATTACATGAGAAACATCTTGGCATCATTATGTTATTAGGAAAAAAGTTGGATTTACAAAGGAAGTTTGTTGTGTCTACACTCGTTTGTTGAACATTTCTTCTGGGAGTAGCACACGGGTAGGAGATTCCTGTTGATGCATGTTGTGTAGAGAAACAGGATTCTCTGGTTCCTCAGAATCTCAAAGTCTGACTGAAAATCTTTATGTGATCTATGGGACTCATTTCTTTTTTTGTGCGGATATGTAGGCTGTACATGTTTTACTCATTGAAACATATTGCTTACATGAAAATATAGAAAAAGCTGATAAATAATATGCTGTATATATATAACTGTCAGAGAGTTTAGAATAAGATGATTTATTTTTCAACTACTTATTCTAAGACACTTCAGGCAAAAACACAATGTTCATGAAAAGATACATTTTTTAAATTATTTTCATAATATCTGTACCAAACAAATGTTTTTTTAAGTCTGGAGAATAACATTTGTGGGCTGGAATATCTCTGCTGCTCTGATGTACTTTATCCAAAATGGTATTTTTTTAAACACATATTTACCCTTTAATAATTCAGTAGTCGATATTGCGATTTCAATCAATTGTGCGGGCCTAATTTAGACAATTGGATTTTCAGGGGTTTTAAGTAGAACTGTATTTGTGTATGTATTTAACAGGAGCACATGGACCAACACTTCGAAATGCTTAAGGCGCAAATGGCAGAATCCAGAGACAATTTGCAAAAAGAAATCCTACGTCAAGTAAGCTTTGTTTTCTTAATATCTGTTATTCTTCAACACTTCAGATGTAACATGTATTTCCCTCCTGACAGAAACAGAGAGTGATCCCCGCCGCCTCGCCACTCAACAGTGTCACAGTGGTGCTGCTCTTCCTGTGGTTCATCGTTTTGTATTACGGTAACAGATGATAAACCCTAGAACTTTTTGTGTTGTGTGTGTACGTGCACCCACTGATGTCTGTCCTTGTTTCCCACCAGCCTACAACTACTCTGTGGAAAACCAGATGCTAACAGAGGCGCTGGAAAAACAGCAGAACCGTGTGCATCACGTTTATTCCACCATTGCAGGTAACAAAAGAGGCATGCAGAAAGAAGTTGTAGGTTAACATTACATTTCAGTTAGCTGGCGCTTTTATCCAAAGTGACCTATAATAAGTGTATTCAACCATAAAGAAACAAAATTAAAAAGCAAGAAATGGCTACTGCATTAGCTTTAAAAAAAAAAAAAAAACCTTTCTTTTTGTATTGGCAGTCAACACATGTTTATCAGTGGACTTACTGCTGTCCTTATATCAATAGGGAGCTTGTTCCACCATGTCCTTATCAACAAAAGCTCATTGTGGATTCAACAACTTTAAAAACAATAACTTGTGGGTTAGACTTAGAGTATATTTCCCTAAATATTCCTTTATTGGCCTAATAATAACTCCCTATATTAATCTTAGTGCAAAACCTAAATGTGTAAGATACAAGTAATTATGTGACATTTCCTCAGAGTTTGAGCAGCTTTCTGTCTGATCTGATGCTCCACCTAAATGGCGACCTCCTTAAGAAGTGAGTTAATTTGTATAATCATTTTTCCTCTTCGTAGAACTCTTGGTAGGACATCCAATGAAAAGACACAAACCTCTGGAGACAGGAGAAGCCACAGGAGACGATCTGATAGAAAATTGGAATGGAAATGTCAGTTGAAGAGAACACTTTGTGTTGGAATACATTTGCTATCCTGATGGAGGTGCTATAATCGGTCTGACTATGAAGAAAACCATTGTGTTGCCTTTTAACATCCTGGTTTTGGCCATATACGTATGGGATATGATGTTAACATGATTATTCTCGTGACTTGTCATGATTCTAAAATGATCCGATTTGAGGCTGGTCTGGATCGTTTCTGTAATGGCTAAGTTGCTTCAATATTTGAAGATTCACTTTTTGATTTCTGGCTGCCTTAATTGTGCCTCGTTTACTACTCTGGCTTTGGCTTGATCAAATCTAATTTCCTTTATGTAAAGTCCTGTTTTAAGTACTAAAGTAACACAGCTTTAAGAAACTAAGTCAAGAGAGAGAACACTCATTTGAGCACACCTGCCGTTTTATTAAGAAAACATTTAAGTCGAGCATTTTTTAACAACAATGAAGAGAATGTTTTACAAAAAAAGGGAAAGGCAGCATCAAACCAAAAAGGCTTCTAAGGCCTCCTAACCAAGGTATACACAGTAGAACATGTTTTTCCTTAGCATGTAGTAAAGACAGAATTGTTAGTTCAGAGACATAAAACAACATTTCAAATCAGTGAGAACTGTACAATCACGTCTTAAACTGCTGGAAAAAGGTTGAAATGGTGGTCCAATGTTTTACAATAAACAAGTATAAAATGACTGGTATGGCCTTCATTTGAAATAAAAAAACGGAGAATACCAGAGTAACTTTGATAATTTATTGTGATCTTTTCTTTAGCTGCCTTGACGTCTCAACTAAAAGCTGTACACATAATCAAACATAACACTACATTATTTCAAAATATTAATATTGAATCCTTGTTTAGTAGCATATACTTGTAACTGTCAGACTTGTAGTAGAAATCAGAGAAATGCATGCTTCTGTGCTGCATTGGTACTGCAGTCGTCTTTCAACTGTTAACACGTGTCCTATTTTGTTTTGATGATGTGCAGCAGCTGCTCTCTATTTCACCATGGCCTGATTCCGGAATGAGCACCACGCCCTGAATATGTTTCTGAAAAACATAAAAAAATATATTTTAGAAAAGGTTTTTCTTTTATACACTTCTGAACAAAATCTTGAGACTTCGGGAACAATGACAAGACTTCTCTTTTCGCACTGATGGATCGTAACTAGGTTGTAAGTAGAGCTTCAAAATGCAAAAAGAATAGAGAGCAGGGAATTTAAACTCAAAAGTTTCAGACCATAAAAAAACAGAACTTAAAGTGTTGAAAATTAACCGAGTAATGAGGAGCCCCACTGTTGTTGTTGATAACTTCAAAAATGTGTTTCGGCATGCATGATGTGAGTGTTTCCTGGAGGCTGGTGGGAACGTTGCTCCATGTTGAGAGGATGGCTTCACAAAGGGCATCCACGGTCTGGAACTGCCTCCGTTTTTATAAACTTCCCTTCCATCCATCCCCAAACGTTCTCAATGGGATTTAGATTAGGGGAACACCAAGGATGGTCCAAAAGAGCGGCGTTATTCTCCTGGAAGAAGTCCTTCATCAGGCAGGCGTTGTGAACTGCAGCGCTGTCCTGTTGAAAGACCCAGTCATCACAAACTAGGCCCTCCGTCAAGAGGGACGCCCGCTGCAACCTCTCCAAATAGCCAGCTGCCGTTTGACGCCCCTTCACAACCTGAAGCTCCATTGTGCCATTGAAGGAAAAAGCACCCCAGATCATGATGGAGCCTCCACTGTGCCGCGTAGACAACATCTCCTTGCCATGCCAGTTGGAAGCCATCCGGACCATCCAGGTCAGAGAATAAAACGTTCTTCCACCTTTCAATGTCCCATGTTTGGTGCACCCTTGCAAAGTCCAGACGGGCACGTTTGTGGCGTGGGAAGAGACGTGGCCTTCAAAGACGTTTTTTTGTTCTTTAAGCCCTTCTCTCGCAGACGACATCTCATGGTTATTGGGCTGCGCGCAGTCAGCATCCATAATGGCCTTAATTTGGGTCGAGGATTGGCCTGTGTCTTTACGAACCGCCCGTAGGATCCTCCGGCTCAGTGCAGGTTAATTTCTTTTGGGTCTTATCGCTTGACTTTTTAGTGCCGTAACCCTCTTCTTTTAAGAAATGTAAAATTACCGCCTTACCTCGACAGCAACAGCGCATAGGGATGGGTACCGAGCCCCGGTATGAAAGGGTACCGTTAAGCTCAAACGTTATCAGTCTTTTTATCGGTACTGGAGACATTTAAATATATGTCATATGTATTATTGCTACACAAACATTATATTGCAGTTTTAGTTTCGCCAACTCCGTTACTAAAAATGCAAAAAGACTGCAAAATGTGTCTATGATTATTTTTAGTATTTTTGATCTTTCCAATCCAGACGAGAGATCTCTCTCCCCCGCCTGTGTGGGAGGGGGCGGGGCAGTTTACACACGTGCAGCTGCTACATGCAGCAACACATACACGGCGGAGAGAACTAAAAGCTCCAAGGTGTGGTTAAACTTTACCCGTCTCGATGTGGACTAAGCTCGTTGCCAAAAGTGCAATAAGAGTTTAGCATTTAAGGGCGGTAACACGAGCAATTTGTCGAAACATCTTGCTAAAGTGCACCACATTCAGACGGAGAAATGCACCGTCTTCGACTGTCTTTCTAGTAGCGCTGTAGCCCCTTCCACGAGTAGCGCTTCCACGTCAGGTATGTTATGTATACCTTAAAGTGGACCTATCATGCTATATTTGAATAATATAGTGTAGGACCATACCTATATAAGGCATATTTATACTATTTATTTTTCAAAATACCAAACAGATCATGCATTTTAGCCATTCCTCATTTTGCTCAATTCAACACTGTCTTTTCATGTGCTGATTCTGTGAGAACAGGACCATCTACAGGCCTGGCGTATTTACTACAGCGTCTCCAGCGCTTTCGAACGGCAATGTCCGTGGCTGTCTCCTCCTGATTGCTGGAGTTGGCCCAATAGAGATAGCGCCACTTCTGTGACGTCACAGAAGTGTTCAAATCTGGATCAGTCGGAATCAGATCCGTTGCAGCCCCTTTTTAAGAGATTTGGGTATGGAGGAAAATAGAGAGGGTTGTGTTTTCTGACACTTGGTGAGTTCCCTGGAACACCGGGGACACATATTCATGTATAAAAGACGTACAAAAGTGCATTTTGCATGATAGGTCACCTTTAATCTTCCTCCAGAAAAACCATTAGGCCTTTTGCAGCATGCCTGTATGCCCCATCTGTGTCTCTCTGTGCCACTGTGTTACTGCTGAAAATACTTCTGTTCTGTAAGTTCACATTATTTACAATTTGTTTAATTAATTTACCTTTTTTTTTTTTTTTAGACAACCGATAAGAGTACCGTTAAAGGACCGGATCGATAAAAGTAGTAGTAACGTTAAAACCTTAACGATACCCATCCCTAGTTGCGATAGGCCTTGCTTGTGCAGCTCAACAATCCTGCCACGTTCAAAGATAGAAAGCCTTTTTGCCTTTGCCATCTGGAGGTCATGACAGTGTAAAAACCTGATTGAAAATTTCATGAGATTTTTGTGCAGATTTTGACTTTTTGAATAAGGCTATGGTCTTAAACTTTTGATCGACCGATGAACAGCCTGTTTGAGTTTAATTGCAGTTTTCATTAAATTGCCTAGTCTCTATTTTTGGTCTCTTGTTCCTGTTTCTTCTTTTTGCATTTTGAAGCTCTACTGACAACCTGGTCACGGTCCACCTGTGCGAAATGCAAATTCTTGTAATTTCCCCCCCGGTCTTAAGATTTTGTTCAGGAGCGTATGTGCTGAAAGCAAAATTAAAAGCATGTTTATAAACGTGTACAAACCTGCAGTGAGTGGCCACACATTCGTTGCTGCAGTATTCCTTGTCCCAGTCGTCGCTCTCCACCGCGGGGTTGCTGCAGCCCGTCCTCACACACACACTCCCCACAGCCGCCACATCGCTGGACCCATTCACCTCCATGTCCTCCTGGAAAACAGTTGGGAGAGCAGCATCAGCATGGCTACAGTACTGTGTTTCTGTACACTGATTTTTCCTTGTGCACTACGGGGACAATTTTAAGAGGTTACATTTCTAACAATTTATTGAGAATAATGCTGTGCTTTATAAATAATTTAATCTTAAACCTATTGGTTATATATAATGGATATATTCTATGTACTGAGTGGGAAACACTGCTCTGTAAGTATTAACCATTTTTAGATACTTTTGGAATGTATTTCAATTAAAGAAGGACAATTCACCACATCTATTTTTCATTTGATGTTAAAACAGGTTGTTGTTTAGAAAAAACAAACAAAAGTTATTAATATCCACTCTGATTTAAAACTAACATTATAGTTGCAGCAGAATTGAGAAGGGATCAAATTTAACATTTTCTGACTTGAGGCAGAACATGGCCAACATTTCAACAGCTTTGACCCGGTGGAACCTGAATAATATCCAGCACTTCTTAAAAATAAAGATTATGCTGCCACAACAGTGTGGTGCTAAAAAAGGTATTATTTGTATTATTATTATTTTTATTCCATCATTTGATTATTTCAGTTTTATAAATCTATTATATTTATTTGTTATTTTATGAATACCTTTTTTTTCATGCGGTTTTACAACCATAACTGTTTATTATAGCTTTTTTCGTTTTGGTTTCAAATGATATTATTTTCTTCTTATTTTGTGGCTTTTCAGTCATCTTTGAAGCACTTTGAACTGTATGAAATGTGCTATAGAAAAAAAGTTGTATTCATGGATTTAAGCTAGCTTCAAAGAACGGAAAATCTAAAATTGTGAAACAGCCAATCAAATCAAAGAGTTACTTTTGGATAAACAAACCTCACACATAAAGCATGTCAACAGATCATTTACCTCATCTGAGTGCAGCACCTCTGTAACCTCGTCGTCGTCCGCACTGCCCGACGTGTCAGCAGAGTGCACCTGCAGCGAGACCACCGCAGCCTGGGCGGAGGTGGTGGGGGTGGAGGACACGGCCATCGTGTTGGGGATCATAATGGGCAGGGTCTCTTTGCCCTGCAAGGACGAGGGAACTATTTTAATCTGGAGTGGAGGGGGAGACGTAGCCGCCATGCTCACAGTGAAGCCGCCCGAGGAGTTCCCCCCCTGCGGCTTGGCCTGTAACGGTGGAGGAGCGGGGGCCATTTGCTGGAGCCGGGGCGGGGGTGGCGCGCTCTGCATCTGCTGCAGCGGGGGCGGCTGACGAGAAGCCCCCACCACCACCAGGGAGGGGTGCAGAGCGCGGACCACCCCGGGCAACATGGTCACCACCTGCCCCCCCGCCTGCAGCAGGTGCTTGGGGATGATGATCTTGGTGACAGTCTGGGTGTGGGGGGGTGCAGCCGCTGGAGCCGGGGATTTGTTGGCCCCCGTGCGGGAACGCGTGGCCCTCTCCGGGACGTCCAGGATGATGTTGGAGGCGCAGATGTTGGTGATGGTGTTCTCCTCCAGGCTGGTGGCAATCTGGCGGTTGGCATGGTGACCGGTGTAAGGAAGGGCTGCAGGGGGCGGGTGGGACACGGGGGGAGGAGGGAGAGGGGCGGTGTCCATCTCCTCAGTGGCGGGCTGTGGTGAAGAAAAGAAATGTTGCTATTGCTTTAAAGAAGGACATTTTATTTTACAAAACGTCTTTAATGCCGTAGTTGGGATTAAACTATGGAGCTCATTACCAAATGATTTAAAGAGCTGTACCAACATCTTTAGTTTTAAGAACATTATGAAATAAGAATAATTATGGCCGTATAACTCAGTTGGTAGACCTGGCGGCCCATGTTTTGGGGCTTGGTCCCCATGCGGTGGACCCAAGGTTTGAATCCAGCCTGTGACCATTTGCTGCGTGTCTCTCCCTCTATCTCTCCCCTTAACAATGTCGCTAAAATAAAAAGGCACTGGATGCCCAAAACATTCTTTAAAAAACATATATATTTGAATAATTACACCGTATCAAGATGTAACGTAATACTTCTGGTAGATTGTTGTGTTGACTGTTTGTGTTTTTATGTTACTTCCAAAGTTCACTTCCAGCTGTGATGACAGACAAGATCATTTTGAGTGAGCTGCTGACCAATCAGAGCTCAGTGTGCAGAGTTTAAAGCGATCAAGTTATATTACAGGAAAAAGGAAATACAGTTTAAACTGCCGTTGCAGGAAAGACTGCCGGCAAAAATCACTGACTGTGTGAACGTGAACATTAATAGAATATCACCCCCCATCTTCAGAGCAATCTGACTATTATAACATTAGCGTTAAGAAAGCTTACTTAAATATCTGCACAACATAAATAACCGGATCAGAGTAACATTAAGTACAGTCTGCTGCATTGTGAGTGCAGACGTCGATGTGTCCCATTATCATTCACATCACATCATATCACATCATAATGTATCATATATTTCCTTATCTGAGTCAGCTGAGCCGTATCTGGCCGTGCAACACTCACAGTGTCACATACTGTATGCAGAAGTATTATTTTAAGCAACACATTAAGTTGACGAAACACTCGAGACAAATGTAATTAAAGTCAGATCCACTAGTGTCTTAGACGGGGCAGTGATATCATAAACCTGTTAATGTACGCATTCAAACACTTTTTCTTTTACCAGCTGTATTCACCTTGAAGGTGCAGCTATGTGGCTTTTATCCTGGATACAGTGTTTAAGTCATGGATGTTTAAAGTTTAACTTCTTCATATTTGACAAATATTATAGTTCACTTTTCATTCAGGAAGTATGACGCTGCGCTGTCAGTACGCTTCTCCATGTTTGTGATTGGTCAAATGTTGCTAACTCCGCCCCTTTCATGTGAACTCAGCCGCACAGAGAAACCCTGGCTTGAGTTACCGAGTTGATAATCAGCGTCGTAGGACCTCTTAGCGAGAGCGCGTTTGTTTTGGGTTAGTTAAGCCAGATAACTCAAACCTATCCAGGGTATGTTGAACTGGATTCGTAGTACAGGCCTCTGGAAGATTGTTGACATCCTCCTGGATCGAATTTCGTTATTTTACATTCACATTATACTTTTTGTAATTTGGATTGTCTATGTTGTAAATGTATTATCTTTTTCAAGGTATAGCCACAACACCAATTGCACATCTGTCAATCCTGGGAGAGGGATTTCTCTGTTGCTCTTTAAAACATTTCCCCCCCATTCATTGTGGGGTTTCTGTACACACTGTATCACCCCTGAGACAAATGTGTTATATTTCTTTTTGGGCTATACAAGTCAAATTTCACATGATCTTACCCGTGTGAGCTGGTTGGCTTTATACGCTGCCAAGGCTTTCAAATACTCCTTCTTGGCTGCATCAGTCTTTCTCTTATACACCTAGTGGAGACAAGTACCACCATTATAAATCATATTTCTCTCCAATTAAACTTATGTTGTGTATATAAATATGTGTTCCTATACCTGTTTCTGTTCCTCAGCCAAGCTGTCCCACATGGAGGCCACAATCTTTGACACCTCCCCAAAGGAGGCGTTGGGGTTCTGGCCTTTAATGGCTGCCTGTGTGTCTCTGAAGAACAGGGCGTACGCTGACACGGGCTTCTGTGGTTCATTCGGGTCTTTCTTCTTCCGTCCTTTCTTAGCACCCAGCGCCGCAGACATTGAGGCCGGCTTCCCCCCGCCCCTCCTGCCCGCTGCTGGAGCCACTGAAGACGTGAGAGCAGGGTGGGAGGACATGTGGGCGAGGGAGGAGAGATACAGGGGGGAGTCTACAAGCACACTCCTCTGAGGAAGGATAAGGAAAATGGAAGAGAGGGGAAAGTAGGTATTAGCTGTAGGCTCTTAAACGTCAAATCCAAAATGTGAACAATAAGTAAACATTAACATAGGCAGGTAAAGCCCTCACCTTGAAGTCATCCATGTCCTCATCCTGCAGCGAGCCGGCTGGGGATGGTGTTGCACAGAGCGCCTGGTCCAGTGTGTCTGAATGATGCCCGATGCCGTCCCCCCCGAGACCCAGTGCCAACTCCGCCGGGTTAATGGTGCTCAACTGGCTGCTTCCCAAAAGACCATGGCTGATGTCCCCGAGTTGAACATCAATGGTCATGGGGGATGAACTGCTGAAATGTGAACCGCTGGAACTCCCAAGTTCCTGCAGGGGGATGAGAACACACAAAGATGAAAACATTTGCAAATATAAACCACTTATGGATATCTGTTTGAGGGTCCACGGGTAGAGCGCTCACCAGAGCAGAGGAGCTTAGCAGGGCCCCCCCTCCGCCCTGGCCCATTGCCACAAGGTTCAGCTGCTCCAGGCCTTGAGACCCGGAGTTCACATAAGTGGAAGCGAAGGAAGGGTCATTGGCTGCCACCACCAGGTTGCTGACAAGGCTCCGGGATCCTGGAGGCCCAACGATGCCGTCTGACCCATCTGTCATCTCATAGTGGGAAACTCCATCATTGATCCTCAGACGGGGGTCCGGATCCAGGGAGATGGGGGGAATCTCAAACACTTCATCACCGAGACTGGGAGTATGGAATGTTTGCTGCATGTGGGGAAAGAAACAGAGCACATATTGAGTTTTCATTAAACTAAAACACATGTAAAGATAAACACAGTGAAGATGGTTACACTGCACTAACATGATACTTGAATAAACTCCCTCACCTCGGCAGACAAGAAAGGGTGACCCGCTCCACTGATGGTGAGATAAGTGTCGCCGCCTTCTGGAAACTGAAACAAACCGTTAGCATGAAACTAAGTCATGTACATCTTCGACATGAATACAAGTTATAGCTGTCAATTTGAGATGAATACTTGTTTACCTTGTTTTCCTCAGAGTATCCGCCATATGCTTGTGTGTCCAAAAACTCCGAATCATTTTGAGCACAACCATCCGAAAGAGAATAAAAATTCAGGTCCATTTTGAGAGGATTTACTTACATGTAAATAAACTATCGCACACGTTGTATACTTGTTTGACAAACTGAACTTCTTAACCACCTACTCATTCAAGTATAATGTTCCAACATTAACTAAAACCGCTAGCTGGAGTTAGCGGCTAGCTAGCTAATCCCTCCCGGTTTGCATAACGTTACGGTGGATGAGATGATGCTAAACTAGCTTAGCTTCGAAGCCCTTGGCAGAACTAGGACACTTCAGTATTTCGAGGCTGTTGGAAGCCAAATAATCCATATAGTAGCAAAATTATACGTTTTAGCCCCCCGGGGAGCAAAGTTTACAGGAGACCCAGCCTGTTTTATACAGTATGGGGGCCCAACACATTCCCATTCATATGCTGGTGTGATGCTACTACCATGTCCTAGTAGCTAGTGTCGGGTTCACGGTCTGTGGGAAATATTGTGATTGCCTCATCAAACTCATGAAACGCTAGTGTTAACCGTAAATGACCTAAATTATTTGCTTTGTGTCGCCTATGTGACTTGTTAAGCCACAAACAACTAGTATTATTAAGCAAAAAGCTTAAACTGTTTTCACACCCGTTTTTCTTGTTTTAACGTTTTGTTAACCAGTAGAATACGAAATAAAAGACTTATTTCAATTTACATTTGAAGTAAACTACGGAGGCCCCTAAGGGTTAAATAGCAGGAAACAAATTGTGATTATTTTTCACATAGTACATTTCGTTTTGTGTTTGCATACAGTTGCCATGCTGTTACATTTATGTGTTCGTTAATTTAGGCCTGCATAAATCTATCATTATTTTAAGTACAGTACGTGTAAGTATCAAAGCAAATATTTTTGATTTGCATATAAAAACAAGTGACATGTTACTTAAAAGGCTATAACAAACCTGTAAGGGTCTGTAAAATAGGTACGCAAATATACAACTACAAAACTTGCCTTGAATAATATTAGTTTATTTCATTATTTATGTTTTTATTTATTTTCCTTACCTTCTGCAGCCATCTAATGGTATTTTTGAATGGGTGAAAGATGCATTGGTTCTTATTGTCAACATGTAATATTGTGATCTACCTGTGAAATATTTCACTTAATTCCTTGACTTCACTCCACTCCAATTGAATGCTACAATCACATTTGGGTTGGTTTTTGTACATTTGTTGACCTTTAAATAACATTTATCACATGTATTTAATATAATATATTTACTGTTTGAAAGCAAGATTAGTAAGGGATTAGTTATATTTTGAATATAGTGGAAGAACCCAATAACATCTCAGCCACCATGTTCCAGGAAAATCAATAGATGTAGAACATGTATTGTATATTAGCGAACTTTAAGCAGTTCATATCTACTACTATCAGATACTTCATTGGTCTCAAAACATGTTGGTTTTGTGTACATAACTGGCATTAATAAATTGTAGTTCAAAATGAATGGAAATCAGTTTAGCTCCTATGCAGTATCCCCTGCTGTGAAAAAGACACAACATATATATTATATTGCTTTGGCTTGATGAAAGTTTACAATAAAACACACAAACCTGCTTTCACTGTAGATTGCTGTTATTCATTTCACAGATACACTCAGATCATAAAACAAGAATAGTAACTCACTGCCGTCATCTTTGTACCACAGTACACAACTGATCAGCTCTACATTGTACAATACACCCAACCTCCTAGCACTGCTTCAGTAACTAATACACCACTTCCCCCCCCTCCCCCTCCCAGAGTGAAAACAATAACAGTACACCCACGCACTGGATCCCCTTTTAGTTCACAGTCTTGTCAGGACAGTAGATATGACCAAACAAGATTGGTGGTGGTGGTGGTTGGGGGGGGGGGGGGGGTTGGGATCTGGATCCGCGCTTCTGCTCAGTACACGTCCAGTTGCATGTAGCGCTTAGAGGACCAGCATTGAGGTCATTTGATAAGAAAAGGGCATCTGTACAGCAGGGGTCCCCTTTTGGTCATGGCTGGGAATGTCATGGGACAGGAAGAGGAGGAGAATGATGAGTCCTGAAATAAGAAAGCTCAGCTTTTTGCCATTTTGTCAGAGGTCAGAGGAGGAGCAAGGAGAGAAAGATGGAACACAACTGTGATGACGAAAAAAGAAAACAGATGGGTGCAAACCTGCTCCTTTCATGGAAAAAATCTCTATATAAAATAATGAATAAAAGTAGCAACGAAAAAAAACATTCATCTGTAATTTGAAACATAATATGGTCAAAATAAACGACGAGGAATAACATGATTCATTGTTGAGAAGGGGACTACGTCCAATGTGTGCGGGAAGGGGGGTTCAGTCAATCCTCTGAGCTCGATGAGGAGTCGGAGTCCTTCTGTGCTATGATGACATCGTCCAATAGCGCCTCTTGATCGGAGCTGTCGTAGTCGCCTTGGGAAAGGCTGTCGCCGCCCTCCATTTTAACGTCAAAGTCTGGACTGGTGAGGAAGTGGTGGGAGGTCTCCAGGTCCTCCTCGTCCATCATGTAGGCTCCGTCTGACACCAGGGTCTCCTCTTCAACCCCGTCCAGGTTGGGGTCTTCGGTGGTGGGCTCTGGAGTGTGGTGAAGGTGGTGGTGATGGTGATGGTGGCGGCGGCGGCTTTTCTTCGGGAGCTCCGAGTGCTCACTCAGCAGTCGGTGGAAGAAGGTCTCGGGCAGGAAGCCCTGTGGGAAGAATAGATATTGTCAGAAACACCGCAAAGTCTATAATGAAGAAACAGTTAGGAGGGTGGGATTTCATCAGATACCTCGATATGATAAATGATTATTGATAATGTGGATACTGGCCAAGTGGTTAAAGATGAAAATGTAATCTCGTAAAAAGCCGTAACGTAGCCTTTTGATGCTCATTTTCAGGTTCATATTTTGTGCCTCTACTGTGACATGTTTCCATGCTTTAGTGTTCAAAAAGCTCTTTATTTTTCTCATATGCTTTTCACCCTCTGTCTGAAACCAGAGCCTAGTCTTCTCTGATTGGTCAGCCGACCCGGCTTTGTTGTGATAAGTCAACCACTTAGAAATGTCCAGCCCCTAAGCCTATCACGTACAATGTGTTGGAGTGCTAGCGAGTGTTACATATTGATGTCACTTTGTTACAGAAGTAAACAAAGGACTTTACTCAAAGTATTTTGAAGTGAGACCTGAACACGTGTCATGAGTGACAGCTGCTTTAGTTTGTCTGCATGGAAACATATTGGGTGTGCAACATTATTTTTAACCACATTTTCATCTAGAGCAGGGGAGATTCCCAGTCGATCGCGAGATGTGTCTAAAAATAGAACAACAATATTCTGTTTTATCGTTAATGTCCTATAACATAATCTTCCTGTGCCAGAATAATGCACTTGAACGCATCAAAGCTTTGTGATTGGCGTGACCCCATGTGTCGGGGTGTGGCTGGTGGGCAGTGGGCACTAGTTAGCTGATGTTGTCCGTGGCAACAGGAGTGACAGTCCGCACACACACAAGACCGCAATTATGGCAGAAGCAAAAAAGCCTGAGACTGCCAAGGCACACNTCGGTCTCCTGTCCTTTCTGAAAGTCATAAAGCTTACATTAGTCATTTAGATTACTTATGTCCTCAATTACCATGGGATTACTGAAACCACCATGAATTAAAGATAATTCATGGTGGTTTCAGTAATCCCATGGTAATTGAGGACATAAGTAATCTAAATGACTAATGTAAGCTTTATGACTTTCAGAAAGGACAGGAGACCGACAGGTGACTATCAATGATTGTCAACTGACAGCATAATGAGTCAAAGGACTAGCAGCAGCAGCATGATGTTGATGTTGAAGAGCCTTTTCTTATCAAGCTCCATTTTTGTGGAATCAGCTTCCAGTTTGTGTTCGGGCGGCAGACACCCTATCCGTTTTTAAGAGTGCGCTTAAGACCTTCCTTTTTTGATAAAGCTTATAGTTAGGGCTGATTAGATTCAGCCCCTAGCTTTGCTGATATAGGCTTAGTTTGTTGGGGGACATCTTACTTCTTCCTTCTCTCTGTCTATACCTGTGTACTCTCATGTTCCGATTAACCCAGCTTCCCCAAATTTCTTTCTTTTTGGTGTCTATATACGCCGGGATCCGGAGTCATGGATGATCCTGCGGTCCTGTGTCATGGATCGCGAGTCCTGGATCTTGAGTCGTGGGTGTGGTCCTGGATCATAAGTCCTGGATGGATATCCTCGTGGATTCATCTTCCTATTATACACACATACATTTCCAAACATTTGGACTACCTATGTTGCAAATGTATTATCTTTTCAATTTACACACGGCATCTATTGCACGTCTGTCCGTCCTGGGAGAGGGATCCCTCCTCTGTTGCTCTCCCTGAGGTTTATCCCATTTTTCCCTTTAAACTGTGGGTTTTCTCTGGAAGTTTTTCCTTGTACGATGTGAGGGTCTAAGGACAGAGGGTGTCGTATTTTCATACTGATATTCTGTACAAACTGTGAAGTCCTCTGAGACAAATGTAACATTTGTGATATTGGGCTATATAAATAAACATTGATTGATTGATTGAGTCTATTGAGTCTATTTTTCGATGCGAGGCGTTGCAGAGGCCACAGCCACTGTTGAACCACTGTTTCACTTTGCCCACAACCTCTGGCTCACTTGGCCCCACAGCCAATTTTGGAATCAAAACTGTCTAATTTAGTCATTAAGGTTAATGTTTAGCTAAATGATTCACATGGTTTTACACCTTGCTAACTAACCAACCAACATTTATGATACATATTTTGAGGCCTGGATACATTCGCTTTGACAAAACAGTAATAGTAACCGACATGTTGAACATTCACTTTGACAAGCAAAACATGGTTTATTGTAAAAAACAAAACATATTTACCACTTAACCATGTGCTTCTCTCCATCACAGCTAAATAAAAATGATGTGTGCTTCCTGAATTCATGGTCACATGACAACAAATGTGCACAGTTCCCTAGATAATGCGGGAGGGTCAACTTACTCACTGGCTCATCTTACCCCACTCTCCCCTATACTGTATGTATAGTTGTGAAGGTATATCAATACTTAAAATTCACACATACTCACACACCATTACAAAAATAATCACAATAATGTTATTTCTATCCAAGTTGTCATTTATTTAAGACTTTACAGTAAGTTAAATTCCTCTTGGTACAAGAATAGAAAATAGCTGTTTTCATAATCATCATCGTAGAAAACATCCATATGATGTACAGCACTTTCAGTGTACAGCGTTACATTGATTTCACAGAGTAGGCTGGTGGTACTTAAAACCCATCAGAAAAGCCTGCTAGCACCCATGGGTCGGACTTCATTTGTTTCGATACTGCAGCAAACAAGAAACTAAGGGAACAGATAAAACACATTAAGACTACAACAGACTCCATATGTAGACTAAGACATAATGCATACAAAATTGCAACCCTTCCAGTACTTTGTAAAATAAAAACTTTAATAATACAAAAATCAATAGCAATAGATGGCATGGTTTGGAAAGAATTTCTTCTTTTATTATACTGGATAGTGTTACATTTAAAAATAAAAGTAGTGTGGGATCTTACTTAGAAATAACTTTGTTACATAGAAGATTACTCAACATGTAGGGAAGTGGGATAAACGATTAGTGGAATATTGTTCTGGTGAGATGCAGAGAGGACGATGAAAAGATGAGATACTAATAGTGACTGCCGAGTTCAACACAATAACTAGTTACAAAAGAAGATGATTTGATAGAGTATGGCAGCTATGATGTTGACTCTTGATACTGTGTTGGTCAGACTTAAGACTTAATGATTTAATAATCATCATCATCGTCATCATCATCGTCGTCATCATCATCATCATCATCGTCGTCATCATCATCGTCGTCGTCGTCGTCGTCGTCATCATCATCGTCGTCGTCATCGTCGTCGTCATCATCGTCGTCGTCATCATCATCATCGTCATCATCGTCATCATCATCGTCATCATCATCGTCATCATCGTCGTCATCGTCATCATCATCAGGATCGATTTTACCTGACAGAGCATCCTCAATCCAGTCTTCCAGCTCATCTACAGATGGCAAATCATCCCCATCATCCATGTCCATCCATACGCTGTCAGCCTTCAGGGTGAAAAGCATACAAAAAAATCCCTCAGGTGTGACTTCTGTGAAGAGGCGAAAGTCTTCAAGCAACCATGCAGAGTTTTTGACTTCAAGTAACTGACTTTAAAAGCGTCTCAAAATATATTATATATATTAATATTATAATTAAGGATCTATAAGAGTGTGGCAAAACACAGATCTATGACTAAAGTACCAAAAATATCACTCACATCATCAGCATCGACAACACCAATCTGTGGGTGGGACAGGTCTATTCCAAAAGTCTTCTCCCAGTGTGGCAGAAGCTGCAAGGACAGGTATTTTTAAGTATGCTTAGTCATTACATCTCAGTTAACTGCGAGTCAGAGAGTACACCAAGTAGTTCCTCTGATTTCCAGTTTTGCATAATTGCAGGGTTTTATATTCTTACCAGGGGGAAGTCATCAGGGTCAATCCAGACAATGCTAAGGTCAGGGTTATCTGTGTTATCCTCTGCAACTTCCTTCAGGATCTCAAGGAACTCGAAACCATCTGAGGAGTGGAAAGAACAACAGTGAAACTACAAATTAAACTATCATAGTGGTGAATCAACATGGTGGACAAACCATGGAAGGATGTATTATCAGATCATTGTATTACTTGGCCTTCATTCTCCAGCAGGCACTATACAGAACAATGGCCAGTCTAGTTTATTTTTGGCTTAAACATCAAACCATACAAATTAAAAAACTTTTCCAACCCCTTTGCTGCCCCATGTAACTCGTTCAGGGTCCTGTACCTGGGTCAGACTCCTCTGCAAAGGCAATGATATGTTCACCCTCAACATCGTCGTCCTGTGGAAAAGAACAAAGACAAACTGAACCAACTGAGGAGAACTATCCAAAGAATTTTATAAACGGTTCTGGAGGTTGAATCTCATCAAAGCATCTTCATAGAAGAATAGTTTGACAAAAACAGTTCTTACCCAGATCTCGTACATGTTGTGTGGCTGCAGCTTCCTTAAGGTTGGTCTTGAAAGGCACAGGGATATTTTATTAGGCTTTTTATATATTTATAAATAATATGTACAGTTTAGGGCATTGCGTTAATTGGATTTACCTGTCGTTATCCTCAATGAAATCGACCAGCTCTTCCTCAGTGTAAGGTTTTCCTGGGATGACTATTGGATCATCAATGAAGGGTTCATAGAAGTCTACCTCATTCAGCTTCATTTCCAGAGCCTTGGCAACCTATAACACAATCAGATGATTATAACCAACAACTGAGCATAAAGGAACTGGGAACCATGAGGGCATGGCAACACGTGTATGAAATGACATTCACCACCTGTTTGCTTTCATTCTATGCAATTTGCATATTTTTTCTATGTGGAGTTCAACTTTGGCCAATTAGGCAATTATTTGCCTCGGCAGGCAAAGGTCATTCAAGCACGTGTTGCTGTGCCATACAGACGTGTAAAGTAAAATGTGACACCTTTCATAGTTGATAACCTTCTCTAGGTGGTTCCCTAACTTTGCAAGAACCTCAAATTGCTGAGGTTAGGAAAGGTCGTCAGGCAGCAAGTCTTGCAATAATTTTCACAAGGTTTTGTGAATCAAAGTTACCATCTAGATGCAAAAGCCTACAGCCTAGAAGTCCAATAAGAAGTAGTTTCTAGATATAACAACTGTAAACTCTGCATCAAGGAACTTTGATCTTTTTCCATCACTACATTTACCATCAATTCTGATTGGGCATATAAGAGCATTTTACCTTTAATGGTTTATAACTGAAAACTTTTGTTCACAAAATCAGTAAACAGTTTAGTTTGTATTATAAATTCAAATTTTGTTTATCAATGGTCAAATGCCATATAGACCCCAACTTCCTTATGGAGTGCCACAAGGCTCAATATTTGGCCCATTGCTTTAAAAATAAAAACGGTGTTTCAATTAAAATAAGTTTATCCTAGTGACTAATCCAGAGAGGAACATTTTAATTGTTTTAAGAATTGATTTGGTTCTATGACCAACAGACTCTAATTTCGGCAGCTGCAGACAACTGTTTTAAGAAAGAAAAACATAATAAAAACTTTAACAGCACCAAATAACATAGAGCCAACGTTAATCATCAGCTCATTATAGAAAATAAGATGAATCAATTAACACTCGTTCATATTCCACCCAGTCTTATTATAGTATTTTAAGTGTGTCTAATTACACTTTTTACTCACCTTAGGGCTGAATGTGGCAAAGAACTTGATGTGAGGATGGAACTCTTCAGCAGCATCGGCAAAAGCCAGGAAATCTGAAATGTTATAGGCATCCATCAAGTTGTTTCAGTAGATCGGTTCCTGTATGAAACATTTATCAATGTCGACTTGTTGCCCTCTTCATTAATGTAGCTTCTAGTGTGCACACATGAAAATCACCTTAAAAATCAAAACAGGTCTGCAGCTCAAAGTTAAATCAAGCAACCTGAGCCTGGTCTCTGTTGCACTTGCTTGATATGAAATCATGAGACATTTTGTTGAAAAGCAACTGTAATAAAAGAAATGAAACACAGGTTATCAGTTCATCACAGTACAGATTCTTACGTTCTGACTTGTGACTCTTAAAGTAGCCCACCAGTTTGATGTCCTCTTCGATGTTTTCAAAGCCTTTCAGTTCCCTACTGTTGTCAATAATTTCCACTGGGTCCTCAAGAACCTATTAAGAGTCATGGAGGAGAAAAGAGGGGACAATGGAGTTGAAGGTGACTTGGTTTAAGAGACTTTTCTAAAAAAAGAGGCAGGCTATTAACTGGGAGATTATATCCTCACGAACATCAAAGATGAACTCCACAAGAGTGTCTGCTGCAAACTCGCCATCATATTCTATGACTTCATCGTCGGTGAAGATGTAGACACTGTCCGACTCATCGAGATCTGGAGAGAAGAGAAGAAGCCCAGACTGGAGCAAAGGTCACAAATGGCGAATCCTTCCTATATCGTTTTTTTGTATCTTGTATCTTCCGTAAAAACAGTAAATACTAAAGTTAAGCAGGCCATATAATAGTCATTGGAGATGAGCTGAGATTCTGATACTGAGTGGTCTCATCATTTTTTCATGGTTAAATAAAGGCTACAAACAATCATACACAGTGTAAAGTTACAAGCTTGCAGCTGTGTTGAGTTTTTTTGTAGGTTTACCTAATTTCTTTGCAACGACTTTGTCAAGCTTTGCATCAATGAGTCCGACTCCAATATCCTCATCATCAAACTCATCCAGGACCTGGGCTGCAAGCTGTAAAACAAAGAAACCGTCATATAACATCGGACATGAATTGTCAGTGAAGTATCTATAAGTCTATAAATCATAGAACACAAGCCTGCAATAGTGTCCATATATCATGCACAACTATACCTTTTTAACAAAGTTGTCTCACTCAATATTTTCATTACCATAAAAGCCTGCTTTTCAGAGCGCTGCTTATGCACTTTCTAAATCTGTATGAAACTTGAACCCTCATGACTGACAGTTTGTTCCACCAATGGCAGTGCAGCATTCACAGCCTTACTACATTGAGGAAGTTGTTTGAGGGTTGTCTCAAACTCTCAAACACACACTCAAACATAAACACACATGGGTGCACACTAATGTCAGAGATCTTAAGCAGCTGCTGGGACAGGCATTCAAAGTTTGTCTCATGGGTCTATCCGGCAGGTTGTTGTGCACAATGCTTTAATTTGATTGGTAGTTGCGGAGGTGAGTTACAGTATACAAATTATACATTGTACTTGTGATACAGATACTTGTGTAGAAATAATTTGATTAGACAGTGTGGAAAAGCAATGATCATTTGCAATGTTTTTATTTTTTATACAGATTATTATGTGTAGTTGCATTAAGACATTCAAGGTTGTTTATCTTGACGTTACTATTAAATACGAATTATTTGATTTTAATTATCCGGTTGTTGTCGTAGATCCAATTTGAAAAGGATTTCATATCCTTATATCTACAAGTCATCTAAATATAAAACATGCAAGGTTGCCTTTAGACCTTGGTGTATCCACCGTCATGTGGCTGATATAATTTCTTCACAGTAACTGAACCTAACAAACTACATGTAAAGTTACCAACAATCTCAATATCTGGGATGGGATTTTAGAATTGGATCCTCATGTTTTTCAACTACCCAAAATGCAAAACGCACAACAGCTGTACAATTTTCATTTTTAAATATTTAAATTTTCTGGAGAATACAGGCCCTCTAATATAAATGGAAAACATTTGGAAATTCACACAGAGACCCCAGTCAGAATGTTGGGCGACCTCAACGATCAATTTTGTCTTTGCCTAAAGTAAATAAAACCCGTAATTACGACCTCCTCATTCCTATCATGTCATATTCCATATAACTTTCCCAAACAGTTTGGCCCTGACCTCTGAAATGTTGAGTCCTTTGCTGCCGCCTCTTGCTAATAATAAATCCCCATCAAATGTAAATCATAATACATTCATAAGGAGAAACACAAGCCTTCAGGGAGCTCGACCCGCCACAAAACATCTCGGGATAAATATAGCGCCAGAAGCAACACCAGCCCAGGGACTATTTTGGCGAGGTGGCGGTGATGCTCAGCGCCCCGGGATCCGCTGACAAGTACAGTACTGCCAGAGTGTCAATCACAGCGGGGAGCTGAGCCGGCACTACTGATGCCAGGACCTCCAGAGCTGGCCTCCAGCCCTGAGACCAAGCCCCAGCACTCCCATACAGAGACAGCAGAGGCTGGTGAGATGATGTGATGTGTATTAATGTTATCTTTCTAAATGTATAGTACTATCCCTCCAATTTTATGTATTGGTTTGCATTGCAAACAACTATAATTTGTTGTTTGATACATTTATTTTTGTGTTTTAGGGTGTGTTGAGTGTTGGTTACATATCCTATGTCCAAATCTGTATTTGAATTTGGTTGTAATTGCCAATACTTTTTTGTACCCAATGTCAATTCTAAAAGAAGCCCCCCAGCAATACTTGCAGCTCCCCAACAATGCATCAAGCATATAAGGTTGCGTATTTTACTGAACACTGTGAAGTGACTATGCCAAATCCCTTAAAATGTTGTTGTCACATGATCCAGTGCATATATAATTTAAAAGCAAACTTTAATTTCGACAAGAGATGACAAGAAATGAAAATACAACTTTTCCTGGGAAAATGCTGTATGAGTGTGTGACATTTGATCTTCAGTTTTTTTTCAAGTAACCCAAGAATCTAGCCGGGTCAGTTGAGGTTTGATGCGTTCGTGAGCTGATACTAAAGGCTTGCTGGATGATGATGTAATGTCTCTGTGAGGTATGTGAACAAACTGCTGAGCATCCAGCCTGACAGGAGGCCTGAGATGTACTGACAGAGGGTGCATAAGGTCCATCAACTCTATCACACAAACACCTCCAGTCTGCACCGTCTGCACACACCGAGCAGGGAGGCGTCACTAAGCCCCGCCCCCTGCTAATATAACACACACACACACACACACACACACACACACACACACACACACACACACACAATGAAAACAAGCTAGTGACACATTTTTGAGACTTAATCTTTCAGCATTTCTGATCCAGCAAATATTTGTTCCCCCTTATAGCATCACATTTGAAATCTTGCAAAAAATCCATGTATCTGTTACCATATATTCTTAACCCTAACTGTAACCACAAATGTACACCCTTACCCTTTTTCGCTAAGAACCTAGTAACCCATTTGCATCTAATAATGCTTCAAATTCTGTGGAACCTAACAAAATAAACTCTATCAAAAAACTAAATCTACTTGAGACTACAACTTTTAATAGCAAGATTGTGTAATGTTTCTTTGTGCTTTGCATTATGAATCCAGCATGCAGCTTTCTCATCAGTACCCCACCCATAGTTCCCATCCCAACCCACCTCAAGGGTCAACTCTTCAATGTCAAACTGTCTCTGGGCGACGCGGCTGGATCCGGGATGGTCATGGTAGTACACCACCATGACATCGTACTTCTTCATCACAGACTTATAGTTCTTGGCGTTGAGGTTGTGGACGCGGTCCTTGCCATCGTAATCAGGGAAGTCCAAGCTGTCCTTGGCCAGTGATAGCGTCCCGATGGACAGCAAGACTGCCACAAGCACCCAGGTCCACTTCATGGCTCCTCTCTAAGATATTGAAGATGTACTTACAGTTTCAGCAAGAAAAAATTGGGGATAAAAACGAAACACTTTGGTGTAAGTATGAAGAACTCCTTCCAATCCGCATCACCCAGAAGAGAGCAAGACCAACTTTTGCATCCACCTTATTAAAAACCGCACATGGGCAACTGGCAGTGGGGCGCAGGGTGCAAGAGGGTTGGGCTTAGCTTGACATAGGTATATGTCTATGTGGGGTGTAATCAGGACATGGGGTGGGGTTGGGCACTGTGGTTTCTGGGGTGACAGTGCTTTGTGTGCACTTGAGTGTGTGTGTTGCAGACCTGTATAAGTGGGTGGAGTCAGGAGATGAGGACCAACCGGCTCTCTTACCATGAGAACAGAAGAAGGTGCAGGTGGAGGGAGATGGTGCAAAAGCAAGATGTAAAGTTTAAAGTGGGACATGTTTGCTTTTCTGCTCGGCGCCAACTGAAGAAATCGTGACCTGATTGGGTTCAGAGGTGGCTGCAAATATGGGGCACTCTTTTCCCATATTAAGTCTTGAATCCCAGCTAAAAATAATGGATGTAGGACAGAGAAGTACATATCAGGAGTGGGTGTTGGTTTCTAATTTGCTGCTGCTGGCATTGACGCAGCGCTAGAATGTGTTGCTGGGTCACTACGGGACATGGAGACAGGAGAGGGTGGAGCACCTGCTGAGGATTCAGTGCATAGGTGTCACTTAGCCCTGACTCAAGAAGAAAGTGAAACATAGAGTTTTAACGTAGGGGCCATGTGGCAGTCGTTTTTATCTTTTTGAGTCTGATCCCTCTGTACATACAGTATGCTAAGTCCTGTCCAATGTGTACAGCACGTATGATGATGTGATATTACTTTACAGCTTGAAAGGGAGGAGGTAAGCTATAAATAAATACAAGCCACATGGTATCGTCATCCTCCTTCAGACCCTCAAAAACACACACGTAGCCTGAACGCCACACCCCTCTTTCTGTAGCAGGTCATGCGGCCCATGTAGTGTTAAAGTAGAAAGATTTAAGGGAGTTGTTGATAGATGCACTGACTGTATGTAACAACTAGCAGTCATGTTAGAGGGGATGGTATGCATTTACTTGTGGTGTCAATGACCACTGAGGCTCCCTGTGGCACTGTCAACAAATAATAAAATGGTGTGTGATAGAGGCTTAAAGTAGAGGAGGGAGCTCCTTTCATACAGTCACATTGAATCTTCCATAAAAGCTTCCATAACCATTACATACTGTATGTAAAGGCCTTTCGTTGGGCCCCTGAGCACAGATTGGCAAAAACTCCCTACCTACTCGACTTCATAAAAGCACGATGCACAGACTTTACAGTTCAAACAGGAGAGACTTCATTCTGACTGAATAGTATTATTTATTGAAATGTTTACAACGATAGTCTTTGGCAATTAGAAAAACCCCATTGTGATACATGTTAGCAGCAGTACAGCCAAAGGACAATAGAAGAACCCCTATATGGTGTCTTGTGGACTTTTAGAGCTCCCAAATAATGCCTTTTTAAAGAGGCCCTATTATGCTTTTTGGGGTTTTCCCTTTCCTGTACTGTGTCATAGGTTTTTGTGCATGTAAACGGTCTGCAAAGGCTCAAATACCAAAGTTCCCTCCAGAGGGAGTTTCTCTCCCTCACACACTGCCATTGTAATCATTTGTTTTCTTCCGCGACATAGTGACATATCATTGTTTGTTTGTAGCCTTTATTTAACCAGGTGAAAGCCCCTTGAGATCAAAAGATCTCTTCTTCAAGGGTGACCTCATCTTACCACTCGCGCTTCTATTGGCTAGCGCTCCAATAAAATTGTACCTGATATGCTTGGGGACAGGACATCTCTAAGCAGTTGTCCAATCACAACAGAGCCGGCTAGGTAACTAATCAGAGCCGACTAGACTGAAGGTGCTGCAGCACAGGCAGTATGAAAACTAAAGACCCCTTTCAACATTAAAGCATATAAACATGATAGAGTAGAAGCACAAAATAAAACCTGAAAATGTGCGTAAATACGGCCCCTTTAAGTTCAAATGTAATGCAATATGTGTTCCTCAAAAATCAAAACAATTCTTTAGAGGTCAAGATTGTCCTATAATTTAAATAATCTGTGATAATGTGTTTGCTATCATGAATGTACACACAAATTTGTCATACAGCTGGAGACTGTGATGGCTTGACCATAATTAAATTTTGGTTAAGTCATGTCTGCAGCATTACCTCTACTGGTCAGTAGATGATGCTATTTAAAATACAAACGGTTACCTTGCTACTTTAACCTAAATGCTGGACTTGCTGATAAAGTTTAATAAACTATTGAACATTGAATACTGAGGTTTGACACTGGTCAGCTTTCAGTTGAACGTTTTGCTGTGAAATTGTCAGTGTTTGGCTCTATTTTATATATGCAGCTTGTGAAAATCACCATTTTTCTTAAGCACATGCATGCTACAGTGTAATTGACATACATGCATTTATTGTTGTTAACAGTTCTAGCCATTTATGTTTAACAGTTTTGACAATGTCCATAAACTTGAGACAAAGCAGGTCAAAGGGTGACCAGAGGGGGGCGGTGCTTAAGATAACGTTTCATAACATGTTGTAGGAACAGCCCACTGATATAAGTCATTTAACGGAAGGTTGAAACGCACTACAGTGTGCCCTGGCTATCAGTATTACCCTGTAAGGTTACTTTAAACGGATTGAAAGGTAGGACTTCACTATGTCAGCCTAGTTTGGCCGAAGACTAGCTAACGTTAGCTTGCAGTCTGCAGTGTCTGAAGTTACTGCTATCTCCGCTAACTCTGGCTAGGCCACTGGCTAGGCCACTGTTAAACTTGGACATAATAGAGGGATAAACAATGCTTCATTCAAGTCATGCTTAAGTTTACTTAAAACCATGTATATTTCTCTCGTATTAAACAATTATCGCTAGCTTTAGCATCCAATCTTTACAGATACACATTCAGGGAAACTAGTAGATTGCAGATGAACTCGAACTGCCATGTGAGACATACCGTGTAAACATTACCAACAGGGCATTATATACACAGTCTATGGCTGGATCTAACACAAAATATAACTCTTGACAAGTCTATTGGTTATTGTTTGGAAAATCAATGATATTTAGGCCTTTTTATACTGTCTCACAAAATTAAAAGTGGCTCAATATCCTTGAGCTCATTGTGAGATATGCAAATGTATTTTCAGTCCATAACCCCAAAGATATTCAGTTTATATTAACCAGATATAGGTAGCTAAGGCAACAAATTACAGAAGCTAGAAGAAATGCTTTATATGTCACCTTAATTATTATTTTAAAAGGAAAATGTTCGCCAGTATGTTTCTGTTGATTTAATTTACAGACAAAATTAAGCCTTAATTAGAATAATAACGATGAATTGTTTTACAGATGGCATCAGCTCTGGCCAACAGAGCGATAGGAGCCATCGTAGGATCAGCCGTTGCAGATGCAGCAGGTAATAACTGTTAAAGTCTATCATACTGTAATGTGTTATTGTCCGTTAAGTATTCAATACAAAATCTTAATTTACAATTAGTTTCCATGTCATACCACTGGTTTGAATACTCTTTAGGTTTCTTTTTTTAGCCCAAAGTTGTTTGCTGATGTTTATTTCTCTATCATCTGAGTCTTTTCACTAAGCACCTTTTTTATTCTTATAAAAAAGGAGTTTCGGATCAGAATGATATTGACCTGTAGTCTCTTCCCTCACAGCGCAGCCCCTCCACTGGGTGTACGACCTGCAGAAGCTGCAGGGCATCCTGGATCAGGAGCCAAACCCTGAGTTCCGCTCTGAGTCGGCCAACCCTTTCTACAGGAGGCAGACGGGCCAGCAGAGCTGCTACGGGGACCAGGCTTTTGTCCTGCTGGAGTCCTTGTCTGAATGTGGAGGTAGGCCTTACTTCTTCATCTTAATGACACAATAGACTGCCTCATGATCATTTCAAACTGTTTACATCATGTTCTAAGCTGTGTAACCTTTACGACCAGGTCTAAATGTTGAAGATCTGAAGCAGCGCACTCTAAAATTCTTTGGGCCAGGATCAGAGTACGACACGCCTGTCAACGACCCTTACAGAGACAGAGCAGGTAGGAAAACCATCTAGTAGAAGCGGAGAATTATTTCATGTTGTTGTGGAAAAATCATTAAACTCTTTTACTCAGTAAGATGGAAATAAGGATAACGTTGTGTTTGTCCTACCAGGCCCGAGACCGCAGCTGCCCATCAAGGGACCGTGGAGACAAGGGAGTTTGAAGGGCTTCCTGAAAAATGTGGATGCAGGCAAAGAAGAAACAGGTGAATGTGCAGTATTTTCATTACAAATACCAAGACATTATTGAGAGAAACAGCTCTAAATGATGTGTCTTTTTTTCCATAGGATGTGAGAACGACTGTCAGATTGATGGAATAGCCAAACTGGCTCCTGTAGTGGCTTTTTATGCAGGAAAGCCTGAGATGCTGGAGAAGGTGGAGCAGGCAGTCCGTGTCACCCAGAACAATGATGATTGTGTGGCAGAGACTCTGGCAGCTGCGAGGTCAGTTTGTTCCGCCAACGCATCATTTTCACTTCCTTTTACTGATGAGAATACTGGTCATTTCTGAAACAGGGATGTGAAAGAAATATAAATTACAAAGAAAATCTGACTTCTTTCATATTGGAAGACACAACAGGTGCAAAGACATTTTACATTTAATTTGACTTACTCAATCTAGTAGAAAGTCAGCCAAACAAAAAAAACTAATCGGTGATGGTGGAATGAACACCTTTTTTTGAGGGAGATTATTGATAGTATTTGAATATACTTGTCGTGTCTATTCCTAAAATCTATTGACAGAGGGGACGTTACAATGTCTTCATTTAGCCTTTTTACCTTTCTATGCTATTAAAATAAAGGCAATAATAACCTGTAAAACACATTATGAAAATATATAAACAATTTGAATGAATTGAATCAGAAACAAATCAAATAAAGGTCTCCGCTGAGTTAAATTCCAAACATGTCGTAATTTTGAAATATAATTTTCCTGTTGCACTTGATTAGCATTAACGCTTGGAAATTCTATCAGTTTTTTTATTATATCTCATCATGAATGGTATTGTAACATCCCTGTGGATGCTACACAGCATAACTTTTAACATGGTTTCAAACCTAAAAAAACAAAACTAAGACTAACTAATGTTATATTATAAATTAGGCTCAGCAATAAATTGGTTTCTAACAGTTCCTCATTTATTTCTCCAGGATCCTGGAGCATTTCATCCTGAATGGTCCCGATCCCAAAGCCTTAGACTCAGTGCTGGCTCAGCTCAGCGACCCGAAGAGAAAGCAGCCTCAGGATCTGGACAAAGCAGTCGTTGGTATGTGAGGCCTGCAGCACTAGACTAAAGTCATGGGACTGAGTCACAGGATTAAAAGTATTCCTCATTTTGTACAAGTGAAATATCCTGAATACATACTATGTTTAATAATTTGATATGACTTTAACTTGATCTTTGACGTCTAAAGATAAAGTAACTTGCAAAGAAGTTAGTTTTATGTGGCTTAACAGTTTAAATGTTGATTGTATTTGAGTAACTTATGAGATGAGTTCTCTGCTAGCCCTGGCTAGAACTCAACTTTCAGCTTCATAGGTTCTCCTTTATTTTGACCTCTGTTTTCCCCTTTCAATGATCATAATTTGCTTTAATTTAAGCAATGCAACTAATGTGTAACCTTGTATAATGTATATAGTATATACATAGTGTCTTATGTCTATATATTTTTTTAGTAGTACGATGGTCTCATCGTGTAATATCACTTATTCTGCATATTTAATATGATATATTCAATACATTTACACTATAGATATTTATATCTTCCTTCTGTTAATATTTAATTATGTTATTTTTAACTGTGCAATTCCTTGTGACAAGCTGCTGTTCCAAAACATTTTCCCAACCTGGGATCATTGTGAATCTAATCGAATGACTCTCCTTTCTGATTGGTTCCAGCTCACCTCCATCAGGTGAAGGAGAATCTATCCAAGACTCCTAAGGAACTGATCCCCAGTGTGTTTCCAAACACATGAGGTATTCATAAAGCTCTTTTAACATCGAGCATTAGTTCTAACATTAGACGTCTATTTCTCCCTGCAGCTCATGCATTTGTTGTTTCACTGTACTACAACATGATAAGATGGATAGGGAATTTCAGGTGTCTTAGAAACAACAGATCAAGAGTGAACAGTACAGATAAGAGCTCACACAAAGATTATAAGACTACAAGTTTATATGGAATTGGCCCTATGAATAAGAATAACATAAAATAAAACACAAGCTAAAACACTTAGTAGCTGAAAGTAGTAGTTCTGGACAAACATTGGGACAACCAGTTACAATGCCTTTATGTTATTAACACATGGTGCTGATGTTTCCTCAGGTTTGCCAGGTGCGTTCCAAGCAGCGCTGCATGGAGTCCTGACAGCCGAGCACTACGAGCAGGCCGTCAGAGACACCATGAGCTGCGGGGGATGCACCTGTAGCAGAGGCTCTTTCATCGGAGCCTGTCTTGGGGCTCAGGTATGACTGTTTTCTCATCTCACATTTGATACATTCAAAGGCGGTAAGCTATGGCAACATGCTCAAATGAAATAGGGAAGCATCTTTTTCTCACACTCACTTTTCTACATTCTCACAGATTGGATTTGAGGGAATTCCATCTTCCTGGACATCCAGAACTCTGCGTTTTGAGTCTGTGTTGGAGCACGCCAAGAAGATAACCAAACAACACCAATAGTTACTCTTTTTCTGGCTGTGTAATGTGACGTGCAGGTGGCTAAGAACAACATGAAGAACTGTTGAGCTTTCACAGGGCAGTGAATGAAGGTTCTTGTTTAAACTTTTGGACGGCAGGAGCCGGATGTTTTGTTTCTGATAAAGTTCAACATGTTGGTTCAGATGTTCAGAAGCTGAGAAATTATGTTATGAAACATTTCAAGAAGTGCATCCAGTGTCAACAAGTGATGGTTAAGCCCATCTATATGGAGATAATAAACTAATAATAAAACACTAACATGTTTTCAGTCTTTTATTAACATGTGTTTTGATAGTCGTGGATGGATGGATTTAAGTAAACTCCCATGTTTCTTAATAAGCTGCAACTGCTATTCTTATAATAGAGGACAATAAAAAAAATTGTTTTTGAAATGGGTTTTGTATGTTTCCATTAGATATCATGTTTTTCTGGCTGACTACTTTAAAACCTGAAGTTAATATTCGTACCAGCCAAAGATCAGTGAAGACAAATTCCAAATAATTTTGGCATAAGAGTTCTTTAAAAAGATAAAAAAAGAAATGGATTGAAATTGTAATTTTTGGGGGCTTAGTCAAAGAAAGCTTCTCACAAATATAAATGTATGTAAATGTTACAGCAATTTTACATTTGAGTGGAAAACACAGATCAATTTAAAGAGTATTATCGTACGAGGCAATACGAGGAAGGCTTTAAAAGTTAAGAAATCTAAATGTTTAGAAAATAAATCAGCAAACAGCTAACATACAACATATAATGTGAACATACATTTTTGAGTTTGTGAGGCATGTGAGTAAGGCTCAAATGTTGAGCTGTATTTATGAATAAATACATAAATGTCATTGTCTACATTCACAACTTATTACTTCCATAAAATCAAACAAGGTAAACAAATGCACGAGTTCTGTATTTCACCACAACCACCATCACAGACTGTCCCTCCGCAGCCACCGTAGCTGACGACATAGCTGGTTAGCTGGCAGCGTTTGGGAGAAAAACATGGCCGGTAGAGGAGCAAAACAGAGTCGTTCTGGCACTGGCCTTTCGAGTAGAAAAGGTGCAAATGAGCAGGAGGAAGAGGAGCAGCCGCTGCAGGCTGTTTTAGTCGCTGACAGCTTCAACCGGAGGTTTTTCCCGGTGACCAAAGACCAGCCAAGGGTAGGCAGCGAGCTAAGCTATAACATGCTAATGGTAGCTAACTAGAGTCCATGCTGTAAACAGTGACAGGGCTGCTTTGAAACTGATGAAAGAAAACTATTTGAACAGAAATAAACACGTTACCTTCAAGCCTTTATTTAAGCAGCTCTGTGGGTTTTGTTTGATATTGCTTAGGGACTTATTTCCATCATGACGCTGATGTACAGTTACCTCTGTAATGACATCTGTCACGTTTTCATTGATGACAGGCTCTGCTGCCGCTGGGTAATGTTGCCATGATCGACTACACCCTGGAGTTCCTCACGTCCACCGGGGTGCAGGAAACATTTGTCTTCTGCTGCTGGATGGCCAGTGAAATCAAGGAACACTTAATGTAAGTTTCACTAGGGTGATCCTTTTTGGATATCTCTCAAATGTAAGATGTTGACCTGTTTCTGTGGTCTGACAGGAAGTCGAAGTGGTGTCGACCCACCTCTCCAAACACAGTCCACATCATCACCTCAGAGTTTTACCGTTCCCTCGGGGATGTGCTCAGGGATGTTGATGCAAAGTCCCTTCTGCGCTCGGACTTCGTGTTGGTCTACGGAGACGTGGTATCAAATATTGACCTCAGTCAGGCAGTGCAAGAGCACAGGTAAGAGATGGCTTTAGTATAATCAGAAGAAATGAAATATGGTCTCTCTACGTCTGTTTTATTCTAATACTATGTGTCATTTTGCACAGGCATCGTCGAAAGGTGGAGAAAAACATCTCGGTGATGACGATGGTCTTTAAGGAATCGTCGCCCGGTCACAGGTCGCGCTGCGAGGAAGACGATGTCATAGTTGCCGTGGACAGCAAGAGCCAGCGGATTTTACACTACCAGAGGACACAGGGGCTGAAGAGGCTACAGTTCCCCATGGTAGGAGCTTCACCATTTTATCAAACCTTTACCTTACTTTTGCTTTGGATTGTTTGTTGACAGTCGCTCTCTGTTGGTTTGGCAGAACATTTTCCACAATGCAAGTGACGAGTTTGAAATCAGACACGACCTCCTGGACTGTCACATCAGCATCTGCTCCCCACAGGTTAGAATGCAACATACAGGAGCTATTGAACTTCTCATTAGTGGTTCAGGTGTAAACGTACCTGGCTATAAACTTGATTCTCCTTCTATAAATAGTTTTCCCTCATTTTCAGGTCGCTGAGCTCTTCACTGACAATTTCGACTACCAGACTAGGAATGACTTTGTCAGAGGGATGTTGGTCAATGAAGAGGTACGGCATTATTCCCTATGATATCTGGATCATGTTTTGCTACAAACCCCTTCAAAGCATTAATCCTTAATTCCTGTTTTAGATTCTGGGCAACCAGATACACATGCATGCCACCAAGGATGGTTACGGGGTCAGAGTGTCCAACCTCCTCATGTACGACTCTGTGTCGTCTGACCTCGTGCGGCGGTGGGTCTACCCGCTCACCCCCGAGGCTAACTTCGTCGACCAGCAGGGACGAAGCTGCACGTTTTCCCGCCACAACGTCTACCGAGGGTCCGGGGTCAGCCTGGGCCACGGCAGCATGATGGAGGAGAACGTCCTCATCGGCTGTGAGACAAGCATTGGCACCAACTGTTACATTTCTAACAGCGTCATCGGGAACAACTGCACCATAGGTGAGCTCTCAAAACTGATTCAGTGACGTCATATATAAGTACGTAATAAAATAATTGTTAATAATGCCTTTTTCTTCTCCATATCAACAGGTGACAATGTTACCCTGGACCATGCCTACATCTGGAATAATGTTCACATAGCCAACAAGGTGAAGATCACTCAGTCTGTGATCTGCGACAAGGCTGTGGTCAAAGAAGGCGTAACTCTGAACAAACAGTGTGTCCTGGCGTATAATGTAAGCAAGTATTATCATAATTTTTTCTTCATTGTAATTAGCAATAAGCTGAATATTGTTATTTCCAAAATTCACTTTTTTGGTCTAACAAAATACTCTGCTTTTAGCACAACCTTTCATTTTGTTTTTACAATAACACGTTTTGCTCCGATGGAGAGGGAGGTTTTTTTCCCACCACTTTTATGTGTCAAGATCAGAATAGCACTTTAGAGATGGTGAAACGGTGAAAACGTTCTCTGTCACATCACTACATTTTCTGTGGACTGTGATCCAGGTGGAGATTGGACCAAACATCTCTCTACCCGAAGGCACCGTGCTGTCCATGCACCATCCAGACGAGGAGGAAGAGGAGGATGATGATGAGTTCCTGAGTGATGATGACCATGTCGGACACAGCAAAGACAAAACCAAACTGAAGGGTGTGTATTGACTCTGTATGCAATATGAATAATCTTAATGATTGGTACAGTAAATGCCACATAACTTCAACGTTGACATTGGTGGCTGGACATCTCCCTCCATTCCTATACACAAAATAAAGGCTACAAATAAATAATAAAATATCGTCATAAGTAGGGCTGCTCAATTAATCGTATTTTAATCGCAATTACGATTTTGGCTTGCAACGATTATGAAAACAACATAATCAAAATAAAACGATTTTTAAATACAAAAAAATTCAGTTGAATTATACTTAAGGTTCAGGGTAATCAACTGTTAAAAACATACTGTTCACATTTTTATTTTCAATAAATGTATGTTTTCAAAGTAAATGGATAATCCTTTTTAATAATCGTGATATCAATTATTGAACCAATTAATTGAGATTAGGATTTTTGCCATAATCGAGCAGCCCTAGTCATAAGCTGTGTTTTCTTCTGTCCCGCAGCGTTTAACCCAGCCGAGGTCGGGGCAGAGGGGAAAGGCTACATCTGGAAGGCCGGCAGTCTGGATGACACGGAGGATGAGGAGCTGTCTCAGTGTCTCTGGGGTAGGACAGCAGGGCGGCTCACTTGTTCAGTCAGTAAATCTGTCTTTCCGTCTGTGTCCCAGCAGCCTGGCTTTTGTTTCCTGTGCATCAGGTCTGGTGTTGAACCCCGACCCTGAGAGCGACAGTGAGGACAGCGAGCCTGATGATGATGATGACCCTGTGATCCCCTCCCCCGAGATGGACGATGTCAAAGGTGAGAGTTGTTCATTTTAGCCACCTGTAGAACCACGTGACTGCCCCCTGCTGGCCAAACAGACAAAATGCCAGCGACGACAGCCCCCTGATGACACTTTATAAATAGCAATTTAATTGAGAATACTACGTAGTTCAATCATTTAGCAGTGTTTTACGAATTCATTACATAACAGTACGGAATGTATTAATCACCTAGGCCTGCAATTCATTTCACAGATGAACTATACTTTATTATATTATGCTAGTTGTTAACTAAATGTGAGAATTAGGAGCTGATCTTGGTTGCCTTGGATGTCGGCTCTGAGCAGTGGCTGATTATTATTACGAACAAATTATAGTATATAACCTCATGACAAATTCTCAAAATGGGATTGAACGCTGGTTATAAATGCATCAGAATGATCTCTGAACACTTGGATGATTTAATTTCCCTTTATTTATTAAATGTTTGTGGTCTTTAGCCTCCCTGTTGTGATTTTGCAATGAAGCGTCCTTTTTCTCGAACTCTTCTTCTCTGGTGTGATTGTGTGTAGTGTTCCAGTTGGAGGTGCTGGGGACTCTGCAGAGGGGTCTGGAGGAAAACATCGGCTGTGACAATCTCGTCCTTGAGATCAACTCTCTCAAGTAAGAAGGGACCAAACCCTGCCAACAGTCTTCTCTCTTTAGACAGATTCAGTTTTGACGCGCTCTCTCCCTCCAGGTATGCCTACAACATCACTCTGAAGGAGGTGATGCAGATTATAACCAGGGTGGTGCTGGAGTATCCCTTCCAGCAGCAGGGCCCAGAGATTACCGCATCGCAATACGTGGCTCTGCTCCTCCCGGTAAAGATGATAGAATCAAATGTAGAATTTGGCCTTTTTCGTGTCCATAGAACTGATTGAAACTAACAACACACATTTACTCCAAGTACGGATTTGACACATTTGTACTTTACTTCACTATTTCCATTTTATGCTGATTTCTACTCTACTCTATTGTAGGAACACAAATATAGTCATTTTTACTCCATTGCATTTATTTAACACTCATAGATTATTTTTACATATAAAACACATGGTTTGCTTTTATGATATAATAGACTGATGTTCTTAAAGGTCCCATGACATGGCCATTTCTACTGATCATAGTTCCATTGTTGAGGTATACTAGAATAGATTTACATTGTTCAATGTTCCAAACTCACATTGGTTTCTCATACAGCATCTCTGTATAGTATGTGTATTCACTCTCTGTCCTAAACGGCTTGTTGGAGCTCCTGCCCCCCCCCCACCCCTCCCTATGAGCCCACTGTGCTCTGATTGGTCAGCTCGCCCACTCTGTTCTGATGAGTCCACCACCGTTACAGCGGAACATCAGTGATTATGTGTTACCATGGCGTTTGTTAGTAACCAGAAAATGACACCGGTAATGACAAACAGATGAGAATGCTGCGTGGGGTCTGGGTGCCGTGTTGGCGGGACGTTGCGCGGATTGCTGCTGCGAGGAGCGGACGGTGTGAGTTGGGTTACTCGCTTGCGGGGGGTTCCTGCGGATAACAGCCAGACATCGAGAGGGAATGGCACGTGGAAGGGATGCTGAGGGGGCTGCAGACCCCCATTCAAGTCTCCATATCACCCGCACCAGGGGGCAGCATAGGACAGTATTTTCTGTGTAGAGTTTTACTCGCTACAGGGGTTACTTTGAGGTTTGTACTGCAAAGACCGTTTTACATGCAGAAAAGCTACATAACACACAAATAAATGGGTATGGGAAATTACTGTAGTCTTCATTGGTTCTAAATAACACAAACCAATATATAAAATGGGCTCTTCATTGAAACTACACATATGTTCCGTAATTTTCGGACATAAGGCGACCTGAATATAAGCCGCAGACGCAACCCCCGGTTCCACTTTTACTTTGCGCTCATACCTGTCTCACTCTTTTCCGGCCTCCACTTCTGCTGTACCCGCCG